CGCAACTGCTCACCTGCCTTCTACACCCCAGTTCTTCAACCCGGGAGAGGGGAGCCCCAGAGCCTCCTAGGAGGATCCTGCCCTTCCCAGCCTGCAGGGCTCCTAACACACTAGCTATCACCCTCCTCCTTCTGCAACTTTGCAAACAGGCTCTACTGAACTTTACTTTGGACCTTCGATGTATGGTCACCCCATCTTCCTGTTGTCATTGGCCCATGCATGACCCAGTGGACACTTGCATGCAGGTGCCCTCACTCCCCTCTTCCATCCCATCCTTTGATCCAGTCCTTTGACTCAAAGCTCTTTCTCCCATCCGGGCCTCTCCCAGGCACATGAATGACACCAGGCTCTCCTCGCTATGCTCCTCAGGCATCATTTCAGTTGATGTAAGCACATTCATTCTTCCCACTGCCACGCAGCTCCGCCATCTGCAATGTGCGCCCAGTCAGAAGAGATGTCCAGTAGGGGCGCGTCCTCCTTCTCTGGACATCTCAGCAGCTTTGCTGTGTCTTTCCTTCCCTTGGGGCTCCTGTCTGTCCTCCCAGCCTTGTGAACCCAAGCTCTCCTGGTGTGCTCTTATATTCTCAGTAATTTCAGAGAGGAAGGAGAGGGAGAGAGAGAAACTTCAATGATGAGAATCATTGATTGGCTATCTCCTGCACGCCTCACACTGGGAATCAAGCTCGCAATTCAGGCATGAGCCCTGACTAGGAATGGAACCGTGACCTCGTGGTTCATAGGTCGGTGCTCAGCCATGGAGCTCTCCCGGTTTTCCATCACTCCTTCTCCGTGTCCTTGGCTGGCTCCTCTTACGCTTTCATCCCAAATGTCTTTCAAGAGTCTATCCAGCCAAAACTGGTTTGACTCAGTGGATAGAGCGTCAACCTGCGGACTGAAAGGTCCCAGGTTCGATTCTGGTCAAGGGTATGTACCTTGGTTGCGGGCACATCCCCAGTAGGGGGTGTGCAAGAGGCAGCTGATCAATGATTCTCTCTCATCGATGTTTCTAACTCTCTATCCCTCTACCTTCCTCTCTGTGAAAAAATCAATACCATATAAGGGGAAAAAAAGGTTCTGATTAACAGCCTGGCTGTCCTGGCTCAGTGGTTGAGCGTTGACCTATGAACCAGGAGGTCATGGTTCAATTCCTTGTCAGGGCACATGCTGGAGTTGTGGGCTCAATTCTCAGTGGGAGAGGGGAGCTGGGGTGTAGGAGGCAGCCGATCAATGATTCTCTCTCATTATTGGTGTTTCTATCTCTCTCTCTCCCCCTGCCTCTCTGAAATCAATCAAAATGTAAATAAATAAAAGGTTCTTGTTACAGAGAGCCAGTGAGAAAGCAGGCCAGGCAGATCTGGGGTCCTGCCAGCTCTGACCTCCTGCCCTGGCAGCTGGCACCAGGGACAGCCCGTGTTCCCTGCTTCCCGGGGCCTCCTGGCTGCTGCTCAGACCGGAGGAGAGTGGAGACAGAGCCCCACACTTGGACCGCACACAGCGTGCTTTCTGCCAATGGAATCTTAGAGGGAGGTGGCAGAAAGCAGGGCAGAGGGGCTGCCCTGGGGGTAGAGGAGTGGGGAGGATGTCCACTCAGTCCTGCCCCAGGCCCCAGGCCCCAGGCCCACTGAGGGTAACTGGCCAGCCCATGGCCAACCACTTCTCCAGCCTTCCAGAACGAATTTCCCAGTGCTCCCCAGGGTGCGTGTGGGCCAGTTAGGCCACCCCCTTCAACATTTCTCAAGGATCCTGCCTTCTGTCTCCTCTCCAGGGCCCCCACTCACCTGCCTGTCTCCAGGGATGTGCCCTGCTCTCAGTACGTGCTGCCCAGGGGGCCGGGGCTTCTGGGCAGCCCAGTGCCATCTCTGCTGACGCACTGGCCCTGAGAGTGAGTAATCCAGTCAGCCTTTCTTCCCACGAACTGCTGCCAAGCTCCATCTTTCTTGTCCCCTGTGGGTGGCCGGGGCAGGGGCCTCTTCCCTCTGACTGGCTCCTTGCTGCAAGCAACGGGACTCAGCCGGGCCGGCCTCTCCCTAGCACGGTGCCCACGCAGCGCCAGCACGTGCACCACGAGCTCCTGAGCCTCCGGGGCTCTCAGCTGGAGAGCCAGGCTCCCTCAGACACACCCTCCTGCCTTGGTGGCTCTCAGATCCTGGAGGCCCCCCCCCAGGACTGTTCTGGCGGGCCAGGGGGGAGTTCCAGAGCAGCTTCCCTTTCTGTCCTGGCCTCGGCGTGGACACAAACCCCTCCCCTTGTTTCTTGGAGCTCAGAGAAAGCGACAGGAAGGGGGCCTTCCCCAACACTTGTCCCTGGCTCAACAACAGGAAACAAGGAGTGCACAGAGCAGAGATGGTCACGGCCCGGCCTCATGGCCCGGGGCCCCGCCCTGCGTCAGCTCTCCGCTGGGATCCAGCCCTGCGAATCCAAGAATCCAAGCGGAGAGACTCATAAGGAAGTGATTGCCCGGGAAGGCTGGCACCCCTTCCTGGCCAGTCCCAAGGGCTTCTCTCACCAGCCTCTAGGCACTGCACTATCGCGGTGAAAGCAGGAGCTTCCGGAGGCGCCTCACCTGCGGGTCAGGACATTGCCCATCCTATCGCTGTGTGTCCTCTTTTTTTTTTTATTTTTTATTGTTTTTGTTTTCTTTTGTTGTTGTTGCTTTTTAAATATATTTTGATTTTTTTACAGAGAGGGAGAGAGAGGGAGAATTAGAAACATCAATGAGAGAGAGTCATTGATCAGCTGCCTCCTGCACACCCCCCACTGGGGATGTGCCTGCAACCAAGGTACATGCCCTTGACCGGAATCGAACCCAGGACCCTTCAGTCTGCAGGCCGATGCTCTATCCACTGAGCCAAACCGGTTTCAGCTGTTGTTTTTACAGAGAGGAAGGGAAAGGGAGAGAGTCAGAAACTCGATGAGAGAGAAACATCAATCAGCTGCCTCCTGCACACCCCCCACTGGGGATGTGCCCGCAACCAAGGTACATGCCCTTGACTGGAATCGAACCTGGGACCTTTCAGTCCACAGGCCGACGCTCTATCCACTGAGCCACACCAATCAGGGCCTCTTTTTTTTTTTTTTTTTAAGGGAGAGAGAGAAAGAGATAGAAGCATCAATGATGGGAATCATTGAACAGCTGCCACCTACACATCCCACAATGGGGATTGAGCCGCACCTGGACATGTGCCCTGACTAGGACTGGAATCATTACCTCCTGGTTCATAGGTCGACACTCAACCACTGAGCCACACCAGCTGGGCCACCACAAGTCCACCTTCGATCATTAGATTCCCGGTGTACAGAGGGGGAAGCTGAGGCTCAGCGAGCTGGGCATAGCCTGGGCAAGGTCACACAGCTGGGGATGGCAAAACAGGGACATATGATCCTCTGCAGGTGCCTCAGTTCCCGGGATGGACAGGAAGGTTACACCTAGCCTGTAAGGCTGGGAGAGTCTTGGGGACCAAGGCCACAGAAGCCACTGCAGGCTGGTACATATGTGTGTGTTGTGTGCATGTGTGTGCACTGAGTGCTCTGTATGCTATGTGTGCAATGTGTAGGGGATGTGGTACATGTATAAGACACTTGCCCCCACCGAAACCTAGTTAGCTCAGTGGATAGAGCGTCAGCCTACAGACTGAAAGGTCCCAGGTTGGATTCCGGTCAAGGGCATGTGCCTTGGTTGTGGGCACATCCCCAGTAGGGGGTGTGCAGGAGGCAGCTGATCCATGTTTCTCTCTCATCGATGTTTCTAACTCTTGATCCCTCTCCCTTTCTCTCTGTAAAAAAAAAACAATAAAATATATTTTTTTAAAAAGACACCTGCCCCCACCTCCCCTGCTGCCCAGTCAGAGGCTGGGAGGGGCTAAGGGACAGCCAGTCTGTCTGGGTAGGAAGAGGCCTTGGCCTTGGTTGTACTTGGGCCCGGTTGGTGAGGGGCTGTTCTGGCCTCTGCAGGTCAACAGAGAAGACGGATAAACAGGAAAAAAGAGGCGAACTCTGGCCAGAGCCTGGCCCTTGGCCTGCGCAGGCTACCGCCTTGGGCTGGGCTGAGCGAAGGCAGGGGAGGGGAGGGGTGAATGGGGGCGCCTGGATGGGGGAGAACGATGGGAGAGAGGTTGAGGGAATCCTAGAGTCTGAGGAGGGGGGAGGAGGCGGGGGAGGCCCAGCCTGAAGCCCCTGGCAGGGAAGCGCTTCTGGCAGGGAAACCCACACGTGTGTCTGTCTGTGACGTCAAGTGCGTATGCCTTTGTGGGCATGTGGCTGCTTCATATAAGTGAGGTGTGTGCGCGAGGGGGAGTGGAGCTGCAATACGCACTAGTGTGGGAGCTCAGAAGCCCCCTCCTCCTGGGCCAGGTAGTTTCAGGTGGGGGAGGAGCGGGGCAGGGGTGTCCCTGGCTGCCATGGGGAGGAAACTGGATCTCACAGGGCACGTTAAGACCTTGATCCCACCCCACCTCCTCCCTTCCTGTCCTTCATCTCCGGCTGGCCCTAATTGAGGAGGAGGAGGGGCTTCGTGGGCCTGGGAGGGCCGGCCCTCTGTGTTAGTGGGGACTCCTGGAGCTCTCACCCTTTCCTCACACCGCCCCAAAGACAGAAGGCTTGGGAAAGGGGCGTCAAGCTTACCACAGCAAAGCTGGAGGGTCCTGAGCCCTGGTCTCAGTTCCCCCGGGTATAGGATGGAGACGCTGAACTAAGTGATCTTCCAGAGTCCTGCCAGACCCAGCATTCTAGTAAGCTGGGCCCCGTGGGGGGAGGGGGCAGCAGGGGCAGAGTGGGAGGTGGGGAGCCGGCCTGGCGGTCACAGCCTGGCCACGCTGGGGACCAGTCTCAGGGCCTCAGGAATGGAATCCTGGGGACAGACCTGGGAGGGGCTGGGGGCGGGAAGGGAAGCAGTCCTTCCCGGTGCCACAGGCAGGAGGCCAGGGAAGGCGGAGGGGGAGGAGGGGAGGAAGTCCCCCCCTGGGCAGGTCACTCCCAGACGCTGGGCTGGGGCGGGGCGGGCGATGGAGAGCAGATCTGAGCTCCTGGGACACCTTCAAGCCCGCTGCTGCCCGGCTTCCCAGGAACCCTCCCAGGACCCCAGGAGCCCAGCCAGGTAAGGGGCTGCGAGGGTCCCCAAGGAAGGCACGCGGGCCCTTCCCACCCAGTCCCCAGCCCTCCCCCTGCGCTCTGCGTCTCTGTTAGGACAGGGGTTCTAGATGTTTGCCTCCGGGCTGTGGACTGCCTAGGTGCGTCCTAGGCTCCGTTTGTCCGTCTGTTTCATTGTCCCTCTTTCTGTCTTCCCCTGCCCAGTTCTAGGAGGAGCAGAGCAGGGCCCCAGGGTCCATGCCTGGCTCGGTGGGGCCAGACCTCACCAAGCTTGATCCAGCTAAGGGTGTTCCCGCAGCTGCTGATCTCTAGAAAACACACACACACACACACACACACACACACACACACACACACACACATACACTCACACACACACCAGCGCCCAACCGCTGGAAAACACACATGTGCATACACACAGTTGCACGCACAGACTGGTACCCCCACCCCACCCCATCCCCACACACAGACACCGTGCCACCCTAAGGGCTTCTGGCCAGAGTCGGGGCAGTGGGGCCGGCCTTGGGGTGGGAGGTTGAGCTCGCCACCCTGTCTCCTCTAGGCGCTCAGGACACCACACCATGCTCACGGCTCCCACCATCTCTGGTAAGGTTCCAGCCCCTGGGTCCCTCCCCTCCCCGGACCGGGCAAAGCCAAGCGGGCTGGCTGCAGTGGGGTTGGAGGAAGCCTAGAAGCCCGATTCGGGGACCCCTTTCACCCTCTCTCCAGGCGGCCCCCGGGGACCGGGGCTGCCCCTCTCTCCCCAGCATGCGAGGTGAGGGGTGAGCGGCCTGCGGGTGGGGCATCCGAAGACCCAGGCCACTGGCTCTGCTTGTCCCCTGGAAGGAACCTCCTTCGGTTCTCTGATCCCTGCAGAGCACACCCCCTAACTTAGCCCTCTCCCCCTCCCCCCATCCCATCCCATTCCCCTCCTTGCCCAGCTGTGCCTCGACCCCTCTCTCAGCCTCTCCCACCCGGGAACAGCAGCCAGGAGGAGCGTGCGGACATCCGGGACCCGCTGCTGGCCCAGGCGGAGCTGGCCCTGCTCTCCATAGTCTTCGTGGCCGTGGCGCTGAGCAACAGCCTGGTGCTGGGCGCCCTGGCGCGGCGGGGCCGGCGCGGCCGCTGGGCACCGATGCACGTCTTCATTGGCCACCTGTGCCTGGCCGACCTGGTGGTGGCTCTGTTCCAAGTGCTGCCCCAGCTGGCCTGGGATGCCACCGACCGCTTCCAAGGGCCCGATGCCCTGTGCCGGGCCATCAAGTACCTGCAGATGGTGGGCATGTACGCCTCCTCCTACATGATCCTGGCCATGACTCTGGACCGCCACCGCGCCATTTGCCGCCCCATGCGGGCCTACCGCCACGGAGGGGGCGCGCACTGGAACCGGCCGGTGCTGCTGGCCTGGGCCTTCTCGCTGCTCTTCAGCCTGCCCCAGCTCTTCATCTTTGCCCGGCGCAACGTGGGCGGCGGCAGCGAGGTCTTTGACTGCTGGGCCATCTTTATCGAGCCATGGGGCCTGCGCGCCTATGTCACCTGGATTGCCTTGATGGTGTTCGTGGCACCTGCTCTGGGCATCGCTGCCTGTCAGGTGCTCATCTTCCGGGAGATTCATGCCAGCCTGCTGCCTGGGCCAGCAGAGAGGGCCAGGGGGCGCCGAGGAGGGCGCCGGAGATCTAGTTCCAGCCGGACAGCCAGTTCCGGCGGCGAGGGAGCCCCTGTGTCAGCAGCCATGGCCAAGACCGTGAGGATGACGCTGGTGATCGTCATCGTGTATGTGCTGTGCTGGGCGCCCTTCTTCCTGGTGCAGCTGTGGGCGGCGTGGGACCCGGAGGCACCGAGGGAAGGTGGGTGTGGCTGTGGCAGTGCCACAGGGAACGCTGGGGCTTGGCTGCGTACGCACCTCTACCTGCACCCCTCCCCCCTACATCCAGCCCCTAGTAGGTACATGGGGTCGCACCCCTGCCTGGGTACCCTCAGCCCCAATCCTTCTCCTCCCCCACACAGGGCCCCCCTTCGTGCTGCTGATGCTGCTGGGCAGCCTCAACAGCTGTACCAACCCCTGGATCTATGCCTCCTTCAGCAGCAGCGTCTCCTCCGAGCTGCGCAGCCTGCTCTGCTGTGCCCGGCGGCGCGCCCCGCCCAGCCTGGGGCCCCAGGAGGAGTCCTGCGCCACCGCCAGCTCCTTCCTGGCCAAGGACACTCCCTCCTGAGAAGCCAGGGGGCGCCCTCTTCCCAGAGGCCCGGGGTACCCTGGGAGAGGAGGGCGCGCAGGGAATTGGCTGTGGATTGCGAGGGGCCCGGGAGGTCAGCTCCTTGGCACGGGGTACGGAGAGGGCAGCAGCATGGCTGTCTGGGAGATAGGGGTCCACGGAGACCAGGAGGAGGGAAAGGGGATGAGGCCAGGAGACCTTCCTTTCTTCACCTCCTTAGTTCCCCTCTCACTGCATTTCTAATAAAAGTGTCAGCTCCTTTTCCACCCAGTGAGTCTCCTTGGATCCGGCTAACAGTGGGTGTGAAGGTGGCATGGAAAGACATCCGCAGACCCATGTCCCTCCCCCCCACACACACACACACACATGCATGACTCTGGAGCCCACCATGCAGGTGACAGCTTCAAATGGCCAAGCCCCCAACCCACACAGCTCTGTGCTGAGCCCCCCGACCCCCAGGAGAAGCTGGTCCAGCTGTCCACCCTGCCACCTTTGCTGAGTGCCCTGGCATCTGGCCTCGAGCAGTGAGGGTGCCAGGGGATTGGCCCTGTGCCCACATGCCCAGTCCCCCAAAACAAGACACCTGGCTCACGCAGGGGAGTCAGTGGTCAAGTCTTTATGAATGGCTGCCAGGCCCACCAATCCCCGCCAGTCCTGTGCCCTCGGTTGAAGCAGAGAAGGGCCTGGGCACTGGCAGGCCTGCAAGGGCATCTGAGCAAGGGCACCCACCACCCACTGATAAGCCCTCACAGGCAAAGGGGCCTAAGCCAGGGCTGGGGCAGGCAGGGGGTCGTTTGGGCAGCCACGTCCTTCTTTCCACAAAGGGTCAAGAGCAGGTGCTCCGTGCTTGCTGGCCAGGGCCAGGGAGAAGCAGAGGGCCTGGGAGGGAGGAGGGTCTTGCAGGCGACCCCTTAGGGGGAGGAGAGGGTCTGCTGAGGAGCCAGCAGCACCTCAGTGTGGCTTAAGGGGTGAGTCTAGGCCCGGGGGCTGGGACGTTGAGGGTGAGGCCGGCGCTCCGGGGCTGCGAGAGAAGCCTTTGTTCTTGCCCAGGCGGCCACCGCCTAGAATCTTCGGGCTGCGGGGCCCCGGGCTGGGAGAGCTGGTGGATGCTGGCCCCAGGCCCTGGCGGACGGCCGTCTTTCCCAAGAGCTCCTTGAACACGGAGTCCATGGTCTGCGCCATAGCCTGGCAGAGAGGTGAGAGGGAGGGCATCTGGTAGGGTTGTCCCTCACTGCCCCGCCATTCCCCCACCCCCGGCTCAGCGTGTTGACAACGAATGCAGGAGCGAGGCCCTCCTACACCGTGCTGCCCAACCCTCCACCGAACCCCCCACTCCAAAACCAAAATCATCTGCCACCAACCTGTCCCTCCTCCCTCACCCAGTCTCCCTCCTGCCACCTTTGCTGTGGCTGTCACCACCTCTGGGGACAGCAATCTTCAACCCAGCCTCGAGTGTGGGAGCCTCTGGCTGAGCCCTGACTGCCCCCTTCTCCTTCTTACACCCACCCTCTCCCTGGCTGAGATCTCCCACATGACCTTGGGGGCCGCCAGCATGCAGGAGCTCCCAGATCAGCATCCATCTGCACCCCGCCGGGCCCCACCTGCTGACGGCCTCCCCTGGAATCTCAGCCTCCGTCCCCCGGCTCCCAGCCTGGCCACTGGGCCACATCCAGACACAGCCTACTCGCAAGCTCTCTCCTCAGGCCTGGTCTGTCCTCAGGGCCTCTGTCTCAGCTGGGAGCAGCGAGCACCCATCGGGTGGGTGCCCGGGATCCAATGGACAGAGCAGGAAGCCAGGGCTCCCCAGGCTGCACCCCTTGCCGGGGCCATGCCCAGTACCCCCTCTTGCCCCCTGAGAGAACCGCTGTCCTGCCCAGCTCTGCAGCCAGCCACTCCTTCCGACCTCTTTGCCATCTGTCCCTCTTATCCTCCCTGGCCCACCAAGCTCCTGCCATGTCACCACCTGCCACCCAGCCTGGCTCTAGATTCCAGCTTTGAAGCCTGCTCGGTAGCCCCTCGCTCAACCCACTCACCACTTCCCACTCAAGAACCAACCACGTGAGAAATGTGGAGTCAGCCCAGCCGGTGTGGCTCAGGGGTTGAGCATCAGCCTATGAACCAGGAGGTCACAGTTCGATTCCCAGTCAGGGCATGATCCCCAGGGGGAGGCGTGCAGGAGGCAGCTGATCAATGATTTGCTCTCATCATTGACGTTTCTCTCTCTCTCTCTCTCTCTCTCTCTCTCTCTCTCTCTCTCTCTCCCTTCCTCTCTGAAATTAATAAAAATATATTTTTTAGCCCTAACTAGTTTGGCTCAGTGGATAGAGCATCGACCTGCAGACTGAAGGGTCCCAGGTTCGATTCCGGTCAAGGGCATGTGCCTTGGTTGCAGGCACATCCCCAGTAGGGGGCGTGCTGGAGGCAGCTGATTAGTGTTTCTCTCTCATGGATGTTTCTAACTATCCCTCTCCCTTCCTCTCTGTAAAAAATCAATAAAATATATATTTTTAAAAAGAACCATGAAGCCCAAATGCATAAGCCTCTGGGTCACCCCTGTCCTTGCCGCTGGGCACATCCTTCCCCTGGCTGGCCTGCCCCTCTCTGGGATGGGCTCAGCCAGCCTGTCTGAGGTCAGGAAGGGCAGACCCAACCTCAGGGGGGGGGGGGAATTTGGTTCATGAAGGAAGGCAGGGGGCCCCCCGCAGGAGAGATATTCCCCCCTGCCACTCAGCCATACCCCCACTCACCTTATCCACCTCCACATGTCGGTCTGGGGAGGTTGGGACCAAGCAGTGCCGTCTGTGCCCAGCTGAGCCCGCAGGTGGGGTACAGAGCTCCGGCCTGCAGGGCACAGACAGTGAGCCAGGCGGGGCCCGGGAAGTCTGCACAACCTGGCAGGGACTCCTCCCATGCCAGGGTGTGGCCAACGAAAAGACAGAGAGGCTGGCCCAGCAGGTCCATTCTGTCCTGTGGCATTCCTCACCCAGACAGCTCTCCCCCCACTGCGCCCAAAACCTGGCCCCATCCCCCTCCAGCCCGGACCATGTCCTGCTGCCCGGGACAGGGTTGGCCCCCAGGGAAGTGCTCAGATGGGGGCGGACAGTGAGGCCACCAGAAGGGTCTTCCCAACGGGCCCACCTCCCCTTGCTCACCTCTGGGTGGTCTCCGCAGCCGGGAGACCCTCCGCACTGCTCAGCAGCTCCCCAGCCTGCAGCCCCGGGCCCACCGCGTGCTTCTCTGCTCTGGAGTCAGAAAGATGGCCTATTTAGGTGCTGGGGGCCGGCAGGTTCTGTGCCTCAGTGGCAGCAAGAAGTGCTCAGAAGGGCACACAGAAAGCCTACAGACTGCCCAGCTGGTGTTGCTCAGTGGTTGAGCATCAACCTATGAACCAGGAGGTCACGGGTTGTTTCCCGGTCAGGGCACATGCCCAGATTGTAGGCTTGAACCCCAGTGTGGGGTGTGCAAAAGACAGCCAATCTGATTCTCTCTCATTATTGTTTCTATCTCTTTCTCCGTCTTCTTTCCTCTCTAAAATCAATTTTTAAAAATATCTTTATGGCCCTGGCCAGTTTGGCTCAGTGGATAGAGTGTCGGCCTGCAGACTGAAGGGTCCCAGATTCGATTCCGGTCAAGGGCATGTACCTTGGTTGCGGGCACATTCCCAATAGGGGGTGTGCAGGAGGCAACTGATGGATGTCTCTCTCTCATTGATGTTTCTGACTCTCTATCCCTCTCCCTTCCTCTCTGTAAAAAAAAAATTAATAAAAAACATTCAAAAAAGAAATATCTTTATGCCCTACCTGGTTTTGCTCAGTGGTTAGAGCGTCAGCCTGTGGACTGAAAGGTCCCAGGTTCGATTCCGGCCAAGGGCATGTACCTTGGTTGCGGGCACATCCCCAATAGGAGGTGTGCAGGAGGCAGCTGGTCGATGACTCTCTCTCATCGATGTTTCTAACTCCCTCTCCCTTCCTCTCTGCAAAAAAAAAATCAATAAAATATTTAAATATATCTTTAAAAGAAAGCCTCCAGACCCTGAGACTTGGGGCAGGAAAGGGGCCAGGTCCCGGGGAAGGGCCACTGTGGGGGATCCCGGACAGCACGGGCACTCACCCCTCGGGCAGTGTGATGTACTTGTGCGGAATGAGCCCCCAGGTGCCCGCGCACTCGCCCCGCCACCAGTCCTCTGAGGCCCGCTCGTGCAGCCGCAGCACGTCCCCGCGCTGGAAGCTCAGCTCTTGGGCCGTGCGGCCCGTGTAGGCGAAGCAGGCCACCGCCTCCACGATGCCCTCCAGGACTGAGGAGGAGAAGAGGTCTGAGTGGGGGGGGTGCAGTGGGCACTCAGGGCAGGGCCAGGGTGGGGTCCTCCTTCCAGACACCCTCACCATCCTCCTGGACCGGAGTCCCAGCTTCCAGTTCCGGCTCGTTCTCACCTGCCAGACCCTCCACCTGGGTGTCCCTGAGGCCCAGAGTAAAGCGAAGACGATGAGCATTGAGAGGACTTCCCCGGACACCCCCCCCCCCCCGAACCTTACCTCCCAGCAGCACAAAGAGCGTACCCCAGGCAGCTGGCGGAGGGCGGTGCCATGCACTTCTCGTAGACAGGGCCTGGCAGCTGGGCGAGGGGCGGGAAAACCCGTGCGGGCTGCACAATGAGCGTCTGCACCAGCTGGTTCACCTGGCCCTGCAAGGCCACAGGGTCCTGCCCAGGGGGCACGGGCAGCAGCGTCGGCCCAAAGCACACAGCCAGGTTGTAAGGGTCCATCATGTTCTCATCACTATACTGGGACAGGCTGGGGGCACACGCAGGTCACAAGCAGGGAACTCCCTGCCCCGTGTTCCCCGCAGCCCCCTGGGCAGCCGCCCTGGCCCCCCAGAAGCACTCACTGGCTGAGGAAGGTGAAGAGGTAGCGCAGTACCACCAGCACCGGCCCGGGCAGCTGTGCCAGGAGGCGGCTCACCAGCTCCACCCGCTCCTCCAGGGCCTCCAGCTCTGTGACCGAGGCCACCACCCCAAGAGGAGAGAAGCCCGTGAGTGCGGCCATAGGTAAGGTGACCAGACGTCCCGCTTTTGGCGGGACAGTCCCGATTTTTAACAATTTGTCCCACGTCCTGAGGCATTTTAAAAAGTCCCGATTTTTGGAAAGAATCATTTAAATCTTTTGGACTTTTAAAAATATATATTTTATTGATTTTTTTACAGAGAAGAAGGGAGAGAGATAGAGAGTTAGAAACGTCGACTAGAGAGAGTCATCGATCAGCTGCCTCCTGCACACCCTCTACTGGGGATGTGCCCGCAACCAAGGTACATGCCCTTGACCGGAATCGAACCTGGGACCTTTCAGTCCACAGGCCGATGCTCTATCCACTGAGCCAAACCGGTTTCGGCAAAATCTTTTGGACTTTTTCAAAACGCTGTGGGACGCGGGACAAATTGTTAAAAATCGGGACTGTCCTGCCCAAAGCAGGACATCTGGCCACCTTAGCCATAGGCCACTGGGGACCCGCCCTTCCCACCCCGCCTGCCTCAGGCCCTGGCCTCACCCGCAGAAGCCAGAAGCTCCAGGAACAGGTCTGGGGGGAAGAGGGGGGGCTCCAGGCTCCGAAAATAGAGCTTCAGGACCCCCGCCACCGAATCCAGGTCTCCGGCCGAGCAGCCCTCCACCAGGGGGTCCTCCCCTGCGGACAACACAGGGGGCAGGAGGCTGAGCACAGCCAGGCTGGCCGGCCTCCCACCCCACCCCACCCCGCCTGGCCCCACCTCTCTCAAAAGCATCGCGGATCTCTGAGATGCGGAGCTGGGCCCCCGACACTCGGAAGATGCCCTCGTGCTGCAGGCCTGGGGGAGGACAAAGGGCTGGTGGGCACCGAGGCCTCCCCCACCCCACCCCCCAATGGGTGCCAGGTGCCGGTGCCAGGCTTACCGTTGAGGTTAATGAATCGGACACAGCTCTCCACCACCAGGGGCACGGGCTGGCCTGAGCTCTGGGGACAGAGAGGGTGTTCACGTCTCTCTGGACACGGACGTCCCGTCTGGTCCTCTCATTTTTTGTTTGTTGTTGTTGATAATCCTCACCCGAGGATATTTTCCCATTGATTTTTCCGCCCCCCCAGTTCAAGGTTCTTTTTAGTTTTGCAATCTCTTTCCATATGAAAGCAATAAAAACTTAACAGCCTTCACAAGAAGTTAACAATGGAATGTTGGGACAGAAAATCTGTATACATTACCATTTACAGCAATTTTACATGGTAAATTAACTGTGTGAAAAATGTTCTTTCGAAATCCCTCTGCTGCCGTAACTCTTGGAGTATTATTGGTAGAAGGCCTACCTGGCACTATTTACAAATACCCGATTTAGACTTCATAACTTACATAACCTATTACTTTCGCACCAATGATTAGTCAGTTCGCTGTGTGCAGGAAAAAGTCCATTGATTTTTAGGGAGAGTGGAAGAGAGAAGAAAAGACAGAGAGAAACATCGATGTGGGAGAGACACATTGATTGGTTGCCTCCTGCACGTGCCCCAACCAGAGTCGGGGTTGGGGAGGAGCCTGCAACCAGGGTATGTATGTGCCCTTGACCAGAATTGAACCAGGGACCCTTTGGTCCGCAGGCTGATACTCTATCCACTGAGCCAAATTGACTAGGGCCAACTTGTCCTCCTCTCTCTCTCTCTTTTTTTTCTCTCTCTCTCTCCCTTTTTAAAATATATTTCTTTATTGATTTTAGAGAGTGAGGGAGAGATAGAAACATCAATGATGAGAATCATTGACCGGCTGTCTCCTGCACATCCCCTATTGGGGATGGAGCCCACAACCCAGACATGTGCCCTTGGCCGGAATCGAACCTGTGACCCTCCAGTCCGCAGGCCGATGCTCTATCCACTGAGCCAAACCAGTTAGGGCCAACTTGTCCTCTCTTAACAATGCATTATGGTTGCTGGCAACGAGGCCCGGCAAGCTGCGTGCAAGACTGGCTCCCGTGTCTGATGTCCCCGGTGCCATTTTGGGCAGAGCCTTACATTTTCCTTGCTAACTGTTTATTGCTGGCATGTGAAAATGTAATCCGATTCTGTATGTTGACCTCCAATCAAGTAGCATTGCAAAACTCGAATTTGTTTGTTGAAATAGCCTGTCGACTCTATTTAGAATGTTTACATACATAATCACAGCCTGAAAAATAATAGCTGCTGCGGGAGGCGCTTTGTGGATGCGTGTGACTAGATAAAGACGATCCCCTTCATCAGTGGAGGCCCAGCAAAGACCCACCCAGGAAGGCGGGCTGACAAGTGCGTGGCAACAAAGGACACTGGGGTCATAGGCAGCCGGGCCACAGAGGTGGCCCAGGGCCAGAGAGAGACCAGAATGCAGGCCTGCATTTATTTATTTAGTTAGTTATTTTTACACATATTTTTATTGATTTCAGAGAGGAAGGGAGAGGGAGAGAGAAACAGAAATATCAATGATGAGAGAGAATCGCTGATCAGCTGCCTTCTGCATGCCCCATACTGGGGATTGAGCCTGCAGCCCGGCATGTGCCCTGACCAGGAATCGAACCGGGACCTCATAGGTCAACGCTCAACCACTAAGCTACGCTGACTGGGCAAGGGCCTGCATTTAGTTGGAGTGCGAGGCAAAGCAAGTACCTGGATAAACTTCTCCATGTCTCCCCCGAAGAGTTTATGGTAATACCGGGAGCTGGGGCGGGGGTGGCGGCTCTTCTGGAGTTTTCTCTGTGTGTACTGGGCGCTGTGATAGATGGGAGCTGGCTCTGAGGTTTTGGGGCGTGGAGAACAGGATGCTCCGCCCCCCAGCCCAAGCAAGCAGGGCCCTGGAGCCTGGGAATTATTCCAGAACCCACTGGGCAAAATGGGGAAATTGAGGCCACAGAGGAATGAGCAGCAGAGGACTCACCATGGCACCTCCTGCTCCTCCTTGTCACCTGGGGAACAGAAAGCATTGGTGTGACTCTCAAGCCAGCAGGTCCGCATGGCACTGCAGAGAGGAAGGTGTGGCCTGAAGGCCAAGGGCAGTAGCAGGGTCAATAGAGGGCAGGAACCTGGCTGGATTATTTCCCTCACGCCAAGCAACCTCTCTGGGCAGAGAGGAGCATGGGTGGGTGGGCTTCCAAGATAGGAGAGCCAAGGGCAGGTGCCACTCCTGGCCCTGGGGGTGAAAGAGACTAAGGGGGCCGGGCATGGGGCCCACCTCGCTGAATGGCCTCCTGCAATTTCTCGTGCTTGGCCTGCAGCTTGGCAAGGATGCTCCGTCCACTCAGATACTCCTTGAGCTTCTGGAAAGCCCCCCAAAGAGCCCGCAGGTTTAGTCCCAGCTCTGGGCCCTCCCTGTACCCCACCTCTGCCCCCCGGCCCGGCCCTCCCCACCATGATGTAGAAGGATTCGGTCTCCTGTTGCTGGCCCCGCCTCCGGCCCGCCTGCCGAGCTCCTGGGTCGGAGCTGGTGGACTTGAGGGACTCAGTGGAGGGACTGGCCTGGAAGGAGTCAAGCATGTCCCCATCCTCCAATGCCACCACTTCCAGCAGGGCCTGGAGTGTGGCCTTCAGCGTCTTGTTCACCTGGGGAGGAGACAGGGCAGGAAGAAGTGGGGGACAGGCAAGGGACAAGAATCCAACTCTGGCCCAGCCAGTGTGGCTCAGTGGTTGAGCATCGACCTATGAACCGGGAGGTCACGGTTCTATTCCTGGTCAGGCCACATGCCTGGATTGTGGGCTCGATCCTTAGTGTGGGGGTGTAGGAGGCAGCCAATCAATGATTCTCACTCATCATTGATGTTTCCAACCCTCTCTCCTCTCCCTTCCTCTCTCTGAAATCAATTAAAAACACATACGTATATATATTTTTAATCCTCACCGAGGATATTTTTCCTTTGATTTTTAGAGACAGAATGAAAGAGAGAGGGAAAGGCAGAGAGAAACATCGATGTGAGAGAAACACATCGATCGGTTGCCTCCTGCATGAGCCCTGACCCAGGCCGGAGAGGAGCCTGCAACTGAGGTACATGCCCTTGACCGGAATCAAACCTGAGACCCTTCGGTCCACAGGCAGATGCTAAGCCAAACCAACTAGGGCAATAAGGTATATTTTTTTTAAAAAGAGTCCAGCCGAAACCAGTTTGGCTCAGTGGATAGACTGCCGGCCTGCGGACTGAGGGCTCCAGGTTCGATTCCAGTTAGGAGCATGTACCTTGGTTGCAGGCACATCCCCGGTGGGGGTGTGCAGGAGGCAGCTGATCGATGTTTCTCTCTCATCGATGTTTCTAGCTCTCTGTCCCTCTCCCTTCCTCTCTGTAAAATATCAATAAAATATATATATTTTTTAAAAAGAATCCAACTCTGAAAGAAGAGGAAGGGAAGCGATGGCCAACTGGTTCCGTGTTTTCCAAGTCCCTATCCCCCACGCCAGGCCGGGCCATTCATACCTCCTCTGTCTCTATGGTCTGTCCGTTCAGGCGGCTCTGGATATTCTGGGCTCTGGGCAGAATCTCGTCCCGCAGCTCCACCTCCACCCGGATCTCAGTCACCTGCAAGGGACAGCGTCAGGGAACTGGGGCCAAGCCTGCAGACAGAAAGCTCAGACGTGGGGGTGGGGCAGGGGCGGGCACTGAGGTCCGCGGGGCACCAGGGAACTGAGCGAATTCCGCTGCCTCTGGTACAGGACCAGCAGGCCTTGACGCTTTGTACATCTGCCTCTGAACAATAGCGAGGGCGCCGCCCCCAGAGAAAGGAGCACACCCAGACTTGCGCACGGATGCTCATGGCTGCACACTCACAACAGCCCGAAGGCAGCAGCAACCCAAGCGCCCAGCAGCCGCTGAATGGATCAGCAAGTGTAGCGCATCCACGCTAAATAGAATGGTATTCAGGCATGAAAATGAATGAAGTCCTGGCTGATCCCGGCTACAAGGTGGGTGAACCCTGAAGACATTCTATTGAGTGAAAGAAACCAGACACAAAGGCCGTGTATTCCAGGAGTCTATTTGCATAAAATGTCCAGAAGAAGCAACTCCATAGAGACAGAAAGGAGATTAGTGGGTGCCAGGGGCTGGGGGAGGGGAAAGCAGGGTTAAGTGGCTAATGGGAACAGAGTTTCAGTCTGCGAAGAGGAAAAAGGTGTGGAGGTGGATGGCGGTTGTGGTTCATGTGCTTAATGCCACTGAACTGTACACTTTAAAAATGGTAAATTTTATGTATACTTTACCACAATGATAAAAACACGTCCACACAAAAAAACCCAAAAAATTTTTGGAAACAATAAACAAATACAGCCAAGTTGCAGGATACAGAATCAATGTGCAAAAATCCATCGCCTTTCTTGCAATGGACACAGACAACAGGGGGCGAGGGCGAGGGCAGGACTGGGGGGATAAGGGGATATTGGGGGAATAAAGACACATTTGTAATACCTTAATCAATAAAAAATGCATAATTTAAAAAATCCACTGCCTTCCTGTATACTAACAACAATACTTCAGAAAAACAAATGAAGAAAAAGAAAACAATTCCTGCCCTAGCCGGTTTTCCTCAGTGGATAGAGCGTCAGCCTGTGGACTGAAGGGTCCCGGGTTCAATTCTGGTGAAAGGCACATGCCTGGGTTGAAGGCTTATGCAGCCTATCAATGGTTCTCTCTCATCATTGATATTTTTATTTCTCTATCCTTCTCCCTTTCTCTCTGAAATCAATAAAAATATATTTAGAGCCGAGGCCAGTTTGGCTCGATGGATAGATCGTCGGCCTGCGAACTGAAGGGTCCCCGGTTCGATTCCGGTCAAGGGCATGTACCTTGGTTGCAGCCACAAAAATTTAGAAAAAAAACAAAAACACAAAAAGTAACCCCCCCCCCAAAACAATTTCTTTTACAATTGCAACCGAAAGAATAAAATACCTAGGAAGAAACTTAAGAACATGAAGGATCTATATACTGAACATTACAAAGCATTATTAAAATAGATAAAAAAAAGACACAATAAAATGGAAAAATATTCCATGCTCATGGATTGGAAGAATCATCATAGTTAAAATGGCCATATTACCCAAAGCGATATATTGATTTAATGCAATCCCCATCAAAATCCCAATGTCATTTTTTAAAGACTGGTATGGAACCACAAAGGATCCAAAATAGCCAAAGCAATCCTAAGAAAAAAGAATGAAGATAGAGCCGAAAACGGTTTGGCTCAGTGGATAGAGCATCGGCCTGTGGACTGAGGGATCCCAGGTTCAATTCCGGTCAAGGGCATGTACATTGGTTGTGGGCACATCCCCAGTAGGGGGTGTGCAAGAGGCAGCTGATCGATGTTTCTCTCTCATCGATATTTCTAACTCTCTATCCCTCTCCCTCCTCTCTGTAAAAAATCAATAAAATATATATATTTTTAAAAAGAATGAAGCTAGAGATATCACACTACTTGGCTTCAAATTATACTACAGAGCTTTGATAATCAAAACAGCATGATATTGTCAGAGAAAAAGACACACAGACCAATGGAACAGAATAGAGAGCCCAGCTATAAAACCACGTGTACGCCCTACTGGCATGGCTAAATGGTTGAGCATCGACCTAAGAACCCAGAGGTCACGGTATTCCCCATCAGGGCCCATGCCCAGGTTGTGGGCATGGTCCCCGGTATGGGGCATGCAGGCAGCCAATCAATGATTCTCTCTCATCATTGGTGTTTTCTCTCTCCTTCTCCCTTCATCTCTGAAATCAATAAGATATATATATTTAAAACCACATGTATATAGCCCTAGCTGGTTTGGTTCGGTGGATGGAGCATCAGCCTGCGGACTGAATGGTCTTGGGTTCGATTCCAGTTAAGGGTACATGCCCAGGTTGTTGGCTCAATTCCCAGTAGGGAACATGCAGGAGGCAGCCGATCAATGATTCTCTCTCTTCATTGATGTTTCTATCTCTCTCTCTCTCTCCCTCTCCCTTTTTCTCTGAAATAAATAAAAATATTTTTTAAAAATCTACATGTATATGGGCATAATTTTCAACAAAGAAGCCAGAAACACACAATGGAGTTAAGATAGTCTCTTCAATAAAATGGTTCTAGAAAAACTGGAAAGCCACATGCAACTGAATGAAACTGGATTACAGTTTGTCCCTGTGGTCAAAAAATTAATTCAAAATGGACCAAAGACCTACCTATATGACCTGTAACAACAAGTCACATAAAAGAAAATATAGGTACCAAACTTATGGACCTTGGTAAAAGAGAACATTTTATGAACTTGAACGCAAAGGCAAGAGAGGCAAAGGCAAAAATAAATGAATGGGATTATATCAAACTAAAAAGCTTCTGCACAGCAAAAGAAATGGACAACAAAACAAGCAGGCAGCCAACCAGATGGGAAATGATAATTGCAAACAGTAGCTCCAACCAAGGTTTAGTTTCCAAAATATATAAAGGACTCATTAAACTCAACACCAACCAAACAAACAACCCAATCAAGAAGTGAGCAGAGGATCTGAAAATACACCTCTCCCAAGAAGACATGCAAACAGCCAATAGATATATGAAAAGATGTTTAACCTCACTGGCAATCAGGGAAATGTAAATCAAAACTATAATGAGATACCACCTCACACCTGTTAGAGTGGCCATCATCAACAAGATAAGCAATAAGTGCTGGAGAGATTGTGGAAAAAGGGAACCCTCATTCACTGATAGTGGGAATGTACTACCGTGTTTCCCCGAAAATAAGACATCCTCTGAAAATAAGACCTAGCACATGGAAAGATAAGAAATCCCTTGAAAATAAGACCTAGTGCAACTTTGGGAGAAAAAAATTAAAATAAGACACTGTCTTATTTTCGGGGAAACAGGGTAGTAGACTGGAATAACCACTATGAAAGCAGTCTGGTGATTCCTCAAAAAATTAAGAATAGATGCCCAATTTGGCTCAGTGGGTAGAGCGTCGGCCTGCAGACTGAAGGGTCACAGGTTCGATTCCGGTCAAGGGAATATACCTTGGTTGCGGGCACATCCCCAGTAGGGGGTGTGCAAGAGGCAGCTGATTGATGTCTCTCTCTCATCGATGTTTCTAACTCTCTATCCCTCTCCCTTCCTCTCTGTAAAAAATCAATAAAATTTTGGGCGGAAAATTAAGAATAGAGCTACCATATGACCAGCAATCCCTCTGCTGGGTATAGATCCAAAAAAAACTCAGAATCATGTATTTGCAAAGATATATACACCCCTGTGTTCATTACAGCATTATTCATGGTGGCCAAGACATGGAGACAACCAAAGTGTCCCTCGATAGAGGACTGGATAAAGAAAAAGTGGTCCGTATACACAAATGAATACTACTCAGCCATAACAAGGATGAAATAGCGCCATTTGCAACAACATGGATGGACCTTGAGAACATTATGCTAAGTGAAATAAGTCAGACAGAAAAAGCTACGAACCATATGATCAAAAAAGACTCAACAAAATGGAAAAATATTCCAACTCATATGTGGGATATAAAACTGAAACATATGCGCCCTGACCGGTTTGGCTCAGTGGATAGAGCACTGGCCTGCAGACTTAAAGGTCCCAGGTTCGATTCCAGTCAAGGGCATGTACATTGGTTGTGGGCACATCCCCAGTAGGGGGTGTGCAGGAGGCAGCTGATCGATGTTTCTCTCTCATCGATGTTTCTAACTCCCCCTTCCTCTCTGTGAAAAATCAATAAAATACCTTTTAAAAAAATAAATTAAAAAAATAAAACTGAAACATATGAACACAAACCACAGTGTGGTGGTTGCCAGAGAGAAGAGGGTGGGGAGAGAAGAGGATCCTAATATAAGGTGACGGGAGATTTGAATTTGGGTCGTGGGCACACAGTGCAATATACAGATCTTGTAACATAGAAACCCACACATGAAACCTATACGTTCATGTTGACCAATGCCACCCCAATCAATTTATAAAGACTATCCAGGCCAGAGGGAGCACTGAGGTTAGAAGTCCCACCCTCTCAAAACCCACACGAATAACGGCAAGCTAGAGATTGATTCTCGGGAAAGGATAAGTCAGAGGAATGCTGGACTCAGGGACACTAGTCACAGCTGAAGGTGACGAAACTCCCTACTGATGAGAAAGAGCAGGCAGTCGCCGCCATCTGGAGCCGGCCTGCCACTCACAGCTGGGTCTTGGTGCTGTCCCACTGAACATAAGGAATGTCAGAGAGCATCAGCGTCAGACAAGGCCCCTCTGTGACCAGGAGGGGTGAAGACAAAAGCATGACCACCTTGTAATCATGTCTGAGCACAAACAGAAACAAAAACGCTGTCCAAGCCACAAATATCAGCAAACTGTCCTCTGGCCCAGCTCCTGAGTGGCTGCTGCTTCCCTCACTTGAAGACAGCTTTAGCCTCCCTTCAACGCTCACCCTGACTTCCAGATAAGACTTTTTGTTGTTGTTGTTAATCCTCACCCAAGGAGATATATATATATTATTTATTTTATTATTTTTTTTTTTTTAAAGAGAGAGTGAAAGGGAGATGGAGAGACACAGAGAGAGAAATATCGATGTGAGAGAGACACATCAATTGGTTGCTTCCCACATATGCCCCAACTGGAGCCCACAACTGAGGTACGTGCCCTTGACCGGAATCGAACCCACAACCCTCCGGTCCAGGGGCCAACGCTCTATCCACTGAGCCAAACCGGCTAGGGCTAAATAAGACTTATTAACATACACACTCAGAGTTACCCCTGCTTCCTATCAGCATCCAAGTCAGAGTCAAGCCTCTCTCCCAACTCCCCTCGCCCCATTCTAGCTCAAGTCCTAGAGTTTTTCCTAGCACCCCCTTACTGAGATGCACCTCCTCGGTTCCCCAAGGTGTGGGTCTCCCTCGGAGCATCGAAGTGAGTCCCCTTCCAGCCACCCTGTGGGGAAGGACACTGTTGACCAGCTCTGCTCACACACATCACATTTTTAAAAATTAATTTCAGAGAGGAAGGGAGAGGGAGAGAGGAATAGAAACATTAATAATCAGAAAGAATCATAGATTGGCTGCCTCCTTCACAGCCCCCGCACTGGGGATGGAGCCCGCAACCCGGGCATGTGTTCTAACTGGGAATCGAACCGTGACCTCCTGGTTCATAGGTTGGTGCTCAACCACTGAGCCACAGAGGCTAGGCCACATCATTTATTTAATTCCCCTCTCTGTGCCTCCTCTTATATATGAACGATGGCCAAGTCAGCCATTTCGGGGAAACTCTAAAATAGAAGACAGATCAAAACAAATTTTTAAAAATACTGGAACAGCTGAAACCGGTTTGGCTCGGTGGATAGAGCGTCGGCCTGCGGACTGAGAGATCCCAGGTTCGATTCCAGTCAAGGGCATGTACCTTGGTTGTGGGCACATCCCTGGTGGGGGGGTGTGTAGGAGGCAGCTGATCGATGTTTCTCTCTCATCGACGTTTTTAACTCTCTATTCCTCTCCCTTTCTCTCTCTAATAAATCAATAAAATATTTTTTTAAATACTGGAAGAAAATGCAAGAAACAGAGAAAATTGTCCAGCAAACAAAAATAAACATTGCAGAAAGATTTGAGAAGATATTGTATTCGTGAAACAAGAACAGAGGATTATTTTAAACAGAAACTTGTAAAAGAAAACAGAACTCTTAGAAACAAAATATGAAAGTACACTTTAAAAAAAATTCAACAAGGGCCGGGACCGGTTTGGCTCAATGGATAGAGCGTCGGCTTGGGGACTGAAGGGTCCCGGGTTCAATTCCGGTCAAGGGCATGTACCTTGGTTGCGGGCATATCCCCGGTGGGGGGTGTGCAAGAGGCGGCTGATTGATGACTCTCTCTCATCAATGTTTCTAACTCTCTATCTCTCTCCCTTCCTCTCTGTACAAAATCAATAAAATATATTTTAAAAAAATTCAACAAGGGGTTGGAAGAGGTCGTTGAAGAAATCTCTCAGAAAGCAGAATTAAAAGGCTTAGAGATGTGGAAATAGAAAGCATAGATAAGGAAATTAGAGAATTAACCCATGAAGTCCAGCATGTAACTACAGGAAGTCTCAGTCTGGTTTTCTTTTCTTTTTCAATGACAGTTGACAGTCAATATGATTTTTATGTTAGTTTCAGGCATGCAAGAGGCAGCCAATGATTCTCTATCATCACTGATGGTTCCGTCTCTCTCTTTCCCCCTCCCTTCCTCTCTCTGAAATCAATAAAAATATATTTTAAAAAGTGAAAATAAGCCAAAATCGGTTTCGGCGAAATATATATATTTTTTAAAAAGTGAAAATAAGAGGGAGCGCACAGATTGCCTGGCACAATGGACAGGACGAGAGGACTATTACAGGGATATGGTGGGGCTGAACTCCGATCATCCATGGAAGGAAGTCAGCGGGGCCTGTGCAAAGTTGGAAAAGCAACTAGCAGCCACTGCATGATCTGAACACACACACAGAAGGTCCAGAAGCAGCAGCTAGAAGAGGGGGAAGTGGCTATTTTTGGGGAGCAGGAATCAAGAACAGAAAGAGTGAGGTCAAGAATCGCTGTATGCCACAAGAGCCTGGAGTACCCTTTGACTTTTTCTTTTTTCTTTTTTTTAAAATATATTTTATTGATTTTTTACAGAGAGGAAGAGAGAGGGATAGAAAGTTAGAAACATCGATGAAAAAGAAACATCGATCAGCTGCCTCTTGCACACCCCCCACTGGGGATGTGCCCTCAACCAAGGTACATTCCCTTGAAGGGAATCGAACCCAGGACCCTTCAGTCCGCAGGCCAATGCTCTATCCACTGAGCCAAACCGGTCTTGGCCCCTTTGACTTTTTCAATCATTATTTTGGTCAAAAGACACATGAAATAACTGAAAGCTCCATGTAATGCCAGTCCATGAGTAATGCCCATTAGGATAAACTGGTAAAGGAAAAAATACTGCAGAGACAAGTAAAAAAAATAGTGCAGAGCCGGCTGGCATGGCTCAGTGGTTGAATGTTGGCCTATGAACCAGGAGGTCACGGTCTGATTCTTGGTCAGGGCACATGGCTGGGTTGTGGGCTCAATCCCCAGTGGGGGGGGGGGGGTGTGTGCAGGAGACAGCTTATCAATGATTCTCTCTCATCATTGATGTTTCTCGCTCTCTCTTCTTCTCCCTTCCTCTCTGAAATCAATTATATATATAAAGATGCCTAGCCTTAGCTAGTTTGGCTCAGTGGATAGACCATCCACCTGCAGACTGAAGGGTCCCAGGTTCAATTCCCAGTCAGTACACATGCCTGGGTTTCGGACTCAATCCCCAGTGTGGAGAGTGTACTGGAGGCAGACGATCAAGAATCTCTCTCATCATTGATGTTTCTATCTTTCTCTCCCTCTCCCTTTCTCTCTGAAATCAATAAAAACATATTAAAAAAAAAAAAAAACCAACAACTCCTAGTTATATTTTACTGTTTATATGGTTTCTTTTCCTCCAAGTCTGTTATGATATGTCTAAAACATACAGAACAATTGGAAGGAGACTATATGGACAGCCATAAGCCCACCTGGTGTCAACACTGATGATAAATTTTTTAATATATTTTATTGATTTTTACAGAGAGGAAGGGAGAAAGATAGAGTTAAAAACATGAATGAGAAACATCGATCAGCTGCCTCCTGCACTCCCCCTACTGGGGATGTGCCTGCAACCAAGGTACATGCCCTTGACTGGAATGGAACCTGGGACCCTTGAGTCCGCAGGCCGACGCTCTATCCACTGAGCTAAACCTGTTAGGTCAACACTGGTAATATTTTTACTGTGTTTGCCTTTGGGGTAGGTGGGTTTTCATGAGCTGGATGAACTGCCATGAGTCGCAGAAATTCGTTTGCTTCCAATGCAAGCATGAAGACCTCATTTACCTCAAGGCCATTGAATGAGGGTCCAAGAAATAAGCTACATTCAGGAGTTTCCACCCCTTAGTGAAGCAAAATTCATTGACTTACCTGAAGGGCAGAGAACGCAAAGCCCTTGGTGTCCATGCCAGGGGCACTAAGGGGCAGGGGCGGTGACCCTCACCTCATCCCCCTCGTGGGGCTGGTAGTCAAAACGCTGCGGGGGGCAGAAGGCCACTGAGTGCACCTCCAGCACCTTGGCCTTGTCCCCTGGAGGATCTAGGGCCTCCACCGCCTCCTCCAGGCTGCCCAGGCCCTGCATCTGTGAGGCCTGGGTGCGGCTCTCGGCAGCCGTGTAACTCCGGAGCACCTGCCCCAGGGCCAAGTGGAACCCTGTGTCGCAGCACTGAGGAGAGAACAAGGACACGGCTCGGGCGGGCCCCAGGGCACTGGGCACCAACTCCCCCACCTGTCCGCCTTGCACTCACGTCCATGAGGTCCAAGACATCATACAGGTAGTAGTTGCTGACTGCGGCGTTGACGCTGGCCAGGCTGAGCAGGTACTCGTTGCGTGCCTTTGTGCACTTCAGTCTGTGCTCCAAGAACTTGGCCTGACGCTGCTCAGGGTCAAGAATGCCAGGGTCATCTACCCAGTCGGCCCCTACACTCTTCCCCCTCCCTACCCCCTCCAGCTCCACCTAAAGCCCCACAGGCTCCTCCACAGCGAGGCCAGAAGCCCCGACGTGCTCACCCACCCCTCCCGGCTGTGCACAAACCTTGCAGTCTCAGGCTGGCAACCCCTCCACCTCAGCTGTTCCCAGCTTGGCACCTCTCCATTCTGGTATCCGTCACCCTCAACCTCTCCAGCCTCTCTTCAAATGCTCCTTATCCCTGCCCATCACCCCAGCACCCTCTCTCAGTGTCTCCCCATGCCTCTGAAACCTCACAGCACTGCAGGAGGCAGGGAGGGTGAGAGTTCTCTTTGCCTCTGATGGGCTGGGAGGCAGGCAGCTAAGAGCACGGGGTAGATAGCCACCATCCTCCTGACCTCTCTGTGCTCCACCCCAGCATGAGCCCTCCAGAGCCAGCAGGGCTGACTAGGCTCAGCCCATCCCTCCTCTTACAGCCCTGCCAGAGGTCTATGGCTCTCCCCTCCACAGCTCTGCCTTCCCCCTCTCTGCACCACCGTCTAGCAGGCCCCGGTCAGGGCCACGGCTCGAAGGGACAAAGGCCAGGAGCCATGGCCTCCAGGCCCACCTTTTCTACCAGCCGGGATCCCTTCTTGACAGAGGTCTTGCGCAGGGGCCCTGCCTCGGTGGTGGCTGTGGCTGTGGCAGGAGCAGGACTACGGCCAGCCCGCTTCTCCTCCTGCCGCTCAGCTTCCCGGAGCTTGGCCTCAGCGTTCATGCTCTCCATGTGGTAAGTCTGGTATGTCTTCTTGGCCTGGAGAGGGGCCCAAGGCCAGGCAGCCCCGCTGAAGGCCAAGGCCACAACCAGCCCTCCCCGTCCTCCTCCCAACCCGACGGGGCCTCAGACTTACTCAGAGAGTAAGGCAATCCCAAATGAGCCCCCAGCCCACCCAGCCTGAGCCCAGAGCAGGGAGAAAGGGCCATGCTTGCGGTCCTTGGGCCCCCATCCTCCTCCTCGGGCCTGGCGGGAGGTGGGGGGAGGGCAGAGATGTAATGAGAGCCTCCCTCTCATTGGCATCTCACCGTCTGCAGCTCAGACACCACCTCCAGGAGGTCTTCCTGTAGCTTCTGCTCCAGATCCTTACTCTGGGGAGAAGGGGAAACGTGACAGAATCACTGCCCCCGTGCAGGACCCACCGCTGCCCTGGGATGGTCACTGCACCTCAGTGTGGCACCCAGGCCTGACACCCATTTGATCCCTTCGCCCTCCCAACCCTGATGCCTCTGGAGTGTGTCCCCACAGGCTGCCCTTGATAGATCCTGAGGCCATTCACCCCTCCTAGATCCAGGGTTAGGGCTTACCTTCTTTTTTTTAAAAAATATATATTTGGTTGATTCCAGAGAGGAAGGGAGAGAACGATAGAAACATCAATGATGAGCCGAAACCGGTTTGGCTCAGTGGTAGAGCGTCGGTCTGCGGACTGAAAGGTCCTGGGTTCGATTCCGGTCAAGGGCATGTACATTGGTTGTGGGTACATCCCCCGTGGGGGGGGTGCAGGAGGCAGCTGGTCGATGTTTCTCTTTCATCGATGTTTCTGGCTCTCTATCTCTCTCCCTTCCTCTATGTAAAAAGTCAATAAAATATATTTTTTAAAAAGAAAAGAAAATAAACATCAATGATGAGAGAGAACCATTGATTGGCTGCCCCCTGTACACCCTACACTGGGATGGAGCCTGCAACCCAGGTATGTGCCCTAACCGGGAATCTATCTGTGACCTCCTGGTTCATAGGTTGATGAACCGGCCAGGCAGGGCCTTACCTTCTTTTTAATTAATTAATTTATCTATTTATTTTTATATTTTTATTGATTTCAGAGAGAGAGGGAGAGATAGAAACATCCATGATGAAAGAGAATCACAGATCAGCTCCCTCCCACTGGGGATTGAGCCCACAACCTGGGCATGTGCCCTTGACTGGAATCAAACCCGGGACACTTCATCCGAAGGCAGATGCTCTATCCACTGAGCCAAACCAGCCAGGGCCTGGGCCTTACCTTCTTGACTATCCGCCCCACATCCTCCGCAATGTGACTCAGGCGCTGGACCAGCGGCCCGGCCAGCACCTCGCTGAGGGCCGCGCTGTCCCGGCTCTGCTGCCGCGTCTGCTGCAGCAACACGGCCCAGCAGTGCAAGGACGACAGGAGGGTCGGCTCCTTCCTGGGGACAGAGGGGCACTCAGCCTGGGAGCGGGGCTTGAGCCCGGCCATGGCCAACCAGCCAAGCAGGACCTACCGGAAGCTTTGGTGTTCGCGGCTGCTGCCCCCCAGGCGGCCTCCTCGGCCGGAGAAGCGCTCGGCCAGCTTGTCCAGGCCCCTGGAGTACTCCAGCTCCACCTCGGCCCTGCGCCGCATGAACTCTGACAGCTCCTGCAGCAGCTCCCGCCGCAGCTCCCCCTGCAGCTCCAGGCAGCGCAACTGCTCGCTCAGCTGCGAGCGCATCTCTGTGGGCAAACCGCAGCTCAGGCCTGGGCAGCAGGCTGTCCCGTCTGCCCCGAGGGTGACGGCTGGGGCAGGAGGGGAAGAAAGAGGCCCCCAGGGAGAAGTTCCAGGCTCAGACGTCCAGCTGGACTCAGATCAGTCCTGAAGAGAGGGACCTCTGGGCTGAGGCTAAAGGGAACCAGCCAGGCCCCACTGGTTGGAGAGGAACAGGAAGGCTATTTTCGGGGAGAGGGGAGAGCCATGCGAAGGCCCAGGGGTGAAGAGGGAGCATGGCGGATCCAGGAGCCATGAACACAGAGCTGCCCAAGCTCCATCTTGCCCTGTCCCAGCCAGACGCCACTCACTTAGGCTTCCCAGAACTCCCCGGTTTCTGGAAAGCCCCCGAGTTGCTTCCCATGCCACTTCCTGCCCTGTAGGTGCCCAGGACCCCAAGCAGAGCGGCCTCCGTACAAAAGCAGACACATGGGGCTGCACGGCGGCATGGCGGCTGTGGCGCTCTGCCAAATCCGCAGTGAACTTGTGGCCACGGCGGCCTCATGGCCAAGGTCAGCGGGCGGGGGGTGCTGGTCAGAGCTGACAAGTGAAGGAAGGGAGGAAGCTGGCCTGTCTTCTGTCCCCAGTTCCCACTCCCGATCACCCACCTCAGGGCACCCCCAGTCCCACCTCCCAGCAGACAGAGCCACACCCGGGGCCCCCACTCCGCTGGCTTTTGACACCTTATCACAGGCCTGATTGAGCAATGCTGCTTTCCTCACACAGACCTACGGCCAAGAACCGCCTGACTGATGAGCTGAAGCAACGGCTGCAAACATCTGTGCCACCCAGTTGCGTGCCCAGGTGGGATCCGGGGCTCCTGGGTGAATAAGTCACAGTTCTGGCTTCTGGCAAGCAGGTCACCCACTGACTGATCTCTGTCCACGTGCCTCGGGAGGGACATGAACTGCTTTCTGCATTTTGCAGAAAGTTGACTACACACCCAGTTTGCGCCAGGCGCGTTCTGGATGCAGAGAGGGGTGACCGAGAGCGCCTGCCCTCATGGAGCCGAGATGGGAATGGGGGACAGACAGCTAGTGACCAGATCAGAGCAGAGGCCCCAGTAGGGTTCTTTTAAAGGAGGGTGGTCAGAGCTGTGGGGACAATTGGGGGAAGAAAGTTGGGGCAGAGGAAACAGTGAAGGTGGTTGGAGCCAGTGTGGCTAGTGAACGGTGCCAGGGGAAGTGAGGAGCCTGAGAGGCCAGTGGGGGCGGGGAGCCGAGGCCAGGGGACTCCCGGCTGAGGCCACGAAAGACTCAGCCGGCAGCCACAGCCCCCTTGGGCTGCCGTGGGGAGCCCATGAGGAGGTCAAATGCCAGAGGGAAGCGCCCAGCCCAGTTGGCCACTACTGCACCAGTCCAGGCAAAAGACAATAAGGGGCCCTGACTGGTTTGGCTCAGTGGATAGAGTGTCCGCCTGCAGACTGAAGGGTCCCAGGTTCGATTCCGGCCATGGGCACATGCCCGGGTTGTGGGCTCGATCCCCAGTAAGGGGAACGCAGGAGGCAGCCGATCAATGATTCTCCCTCATCATTGCTGTTTCTCTCCCTCACCCTCTCCCTTCCTGTCTGAAATCAATAAAGAATATAATTAAAAATAAATAAAATTAGTGAAAAGGTGCTTTTATTCCACCATGGGGTCAAGCTGGGTAAATGGAAGCCTGGGGAAGGTAGTGGTAGGGGGTAGGGGGTGAGGGGGAACTTCCTGACAGTGAAACCAATGCAGACCAGGGCAGAGGCAAGCAAGACAGGGTCTTTCTATCACCTGAGGCCAGGCTGCAGTGGTTGACTCTCAGCTCCACGGGCTAGGTGGAGCTTCTTCATTGATTTGGGATAACATTTTTTAAAAATATATTTTATTAATTTTTTTTTTTTTTTTTTTTTTTACAGAGAGGAAGGGAGAGGGATAGAGAGCTAGAAACGTCAATGAGAGAGAAACATCGCCCAGCTGCCTCCTGCACACCCCCTACCGGGGATGTGCCTGCAACCAATGTACATGCCCTTGACCGGAATCCAACCTGGGACCTTCAGTCTGCAGACCGATGTTCTATCCACTGAGCCAAACCGGTTTCGGCTGGGGTAACATTTTGTAAATAAAAGGAAATTCCATTTCATTGCAAGAAATGTCTGAGACCTCAAAGCTCACCTCACCTTCCTCTGGCATCTGCCCCACCTTCCGGGAGCAACAGCTCCCTGGGAACAATGAATGGACCAGCCTGCCACACTGTTTCATTTATTCTTCAGGGCAGCCTTGCCTGGATCAGGATCCAGACATGCGCACTGGCTGCTGTCAAGTAGGAGGCTAGGAAATTAGCGCTAAGCACCAAGAGCTGGTGCCTGGCCCCAGCCTCTAGGCTGTGTCTCTGTCCACCTCTCAGACCTCAGCTCAGATGCATGCATCAGAGAACCCTTCCCTGATCTCTCCCCAAACTAGGACCGTTCTTCCTACCCCCTTTCTAGACATCCCGGCTTTCCCTTTATGGTGGTCAGCATCATAATTAAAACTATGTGATGTGCCGAAACCGGTTTGGCTCAGTGGTAGAGCGTCGGCCTGCGGACTGAAGGGTCCTGGGTTCGATTCCGGTCAGAGGCATGTACATTGGTTGGGGGCGCATCCCCGATAGGGGGTGTGCAGGGGGTAGCTGGTCGATGTTTCTCTCTCATCGACGTTTCTGGCTCTCTATCTCTCTCCCTTCCTCTCTGTAAAAATCAATAAAATATATTGGGAGGGGAAAAAAACTATGTGATGCCGCCCAGCTGGTGTGGCTCAATGGCTGAGCATCAACCTATAAACCAGGAGGTCCCGGTTCCATTCCCGGTCAGGACACATGCCTGGTTTGCAGACTTGATCCCTAGTGTGGGGCGGGCAGGAGGCAACCGATCAAATATTCTCTCTCCTCATTGATGTTTCTCTCTCTCTCTCTCCCTCTCTCTTCCTCTCTGAAATAACAATGTTATTTTAAAATAAAAATAATTGTGGGCCCAAACTGGTTTGGCTCAGTGGATAGAGTGTCAGCCTGCAGATTGAAAGGTCCCAGGTTCAATTCCAGTCAAGGGCATGTACCTTGGTTGCTGGCACATCCCCAGTGAGAGATGTGCAGGAGGCAGCTCTCTCACCAATGTTTCTAACTCTCTATCCTTCTCCCTTCTTCTCTTAAAAAAAAATCAATAAAACATATTTTTAAAAATAGTTGTGTGATGCCTTGTTTACTAGATGTCTCTGAGCTGTAAGGACGGAAGCGTCTGGTTCTCTTTTGCTCAGCAAAAGAGTCAGAATAGATGCATAGAAAACATCTGTCACAAGGAAGGATGGAATCCACTGTGCTTGGGCCCCACCAGCACTTCCTGTGAGCAAGGCCTAGGTCTCACTTCTGCTGACAAGCAAAGCAGAAGAGAAGATGGCCTCCCGACCACGACTCTGCTGACCTGTCAGAATTTGGGGCATCAAGACAGTGATCCTGTTTTCTCGCCTGGTGGGAAGCTTCTTTTGTTGGTGGTGGGAGTGGGGGGCGGGGAACAGAAGCTAAAATAATCCGAGGGCCCGAGCAGAGAAGGAACAACGGAAAGACAGCCTCACTCACACTCCCAATTTGTCCATGTGAATGAACTGACACACATGTGCTGACTGAAGAGTTTCCAAAGTCCTGCAGCCCACCTCGTCGCATTTTGAGGAAGCAGGATGGGCAGCATTCTCTTCATCTTGGAAATGATGAAGGTGAGGCTTGGCGAGCTGGCTCATCCTCGCCATTTAAAAAAAAAAACATATTTCATTGATTTTTTACAGAGAGGAAGGGAGAGAGATAGAGAGTTAGGAACATCGATGAGAGAAACATTGATCAGCTGCCTCTTGCACATCCCCCACTGGGGATGTGACTGCAACCAAGGTACATGCCCTTGACCGGAATTGAACCTGGGACCTTTCAGTCCGCAGGCCGATGCTCTGTCCATTGAGCCAAACAGGTTCCGGCACCCTCACCATTTAAAAAAATATATATTTTATTGATTTTTTTTTTTTCAGAGAGAAAGGGAGAAAAGAGAGTTAAAAACATCGATGAGAAACATCAATTAACTGCTTCTGGCAGACCTCCCACAAGGCATATGCCCACAACCAACGTACATGCCCTTGACCGGAACCGAACCCGGGACCTTTCAGTCTGCAGGCCGATGCTCTATCCACTGAGCCAAACCAGTTAGGGCTCACCCTCACCATTGCCTCATGCTGGCTCCGGGTGGAAGGCCGCCTCTCTCAGGCGGGCAGGACTCCGGCATTATTTTAGTATAAATTGCTTGCATTGATAATTATGTTGCAACCTGCATCTCTGTGTTGCAGGAAACGTCAGGGGTCGTTTCATTTGACCTCCTAGGAGCTGCAGTGCTGTGTGACTGCGTGCCAGCCACTGCTCCTCTGAGCTTCAGTTTCTCCCATCGGTAAACAGAGCGATGGAGAATGCTATATGGGGGCCGCGCAACTAAAGACACTGAGAAATTTGAGGACCCCAAACTGCTGGTGCTTTTGGATGCTACCTCTTCCCTCTGCCGGAGTCGCCACACCCTAAATAAAACCCCTAAATAAAACCACAGAAGTTGCCGACTAAGAATCTGCAGAGCTGATTTGCATGGGATTTGCACAGCGTGTTTATCAGCGCCCAAGGAGGTTCTACTCTTCACAAGGCTGCGAGGCTGGCCCTGCCGAATCTCTCAGGCCAAGGCTCCCTGTGCCCGCTTGACCCAGAGAGGGTGGCCCTCGCTCTGAGCCACCTCCATGCCCGAGGGCAAAGGGGCTGGGCGCCAGGGACAGAAGTGGTTTAAGGACAAAGCCATCACTAATACATCCACCGAGGCACCTGGACTTCCTTCCTGGGCCCCCCTCAGCCAAGTCAAAGTGTAAGATTTCATCGTGGCTAGAATGCCACTTTCTGGGGGGGTCATCTTGGTGCACTCAGGGCCCCATTCTCTTCTCGGGCTCCTTGGGCGAAGTGCAGGGAGAACTCAAGAGGGCAGAGACCAAAGAAAGGGAGTGATGGAGGAGGGAAGGGGGATAGAGGGGGGAAGGAAGGAGTGACGGTCAGGGGGCTCAGGTTCCCTCCTTCGACACCCCCTGAGGTCACTGGGCCAGCAGCGGGACTTTTGGGGCTCCCCCACAGCCTTGGGCCCCCCGCAGGGCACCGGACCGGAAGAGCCCAGCGCCCTCTCACCTTTTATTTGCGTCTCATACTCGGCCTGCAGCCCCCGCTCCCGGCGCAGCTTCCCGTGCGCGGCCATGGCAGCCGGGCAGCGGCGCCGTCGAGGCCTGCAGCTACTACACAGGGTTCCTGGGGCTCCGCAAGCGGCACCCCGCACCAGCCCCGCCCCGCCCCGCCCCCAGCGCGGCCCCGGGGGCGGGGCGACCCAGGCCTGGCAATGCCCTTGAAGGATGCCTGTGGGGGTCCCACTGAGCTGGGGCCCTGCCTCCCCTCCCGCTGGGCATTAGGCCCCACCTGGGCTGCCTGGTGCCCAGAGCTCTCCTGCCAAGCAACCAGGGCCAGTGTGAGAGCCCCAAAGTGCCCAGCAAGCTGGCACCCTCTGGCTGCTGACCTGCCCACCTCTAGAAGGCTGCCTGGCCACGCCTGCCACACGGGACTCTTCACAGCATGGCTACTGTCTCTCAATGCCAGTAGTTGCTCCAGGCCCTGGACTTCCTGGAGTCACCAGCTTCCCCCAGAACCTCAGGATATCAGATGGAGCCCACCCCTCCCAAGCCACAGCCCTGAGGGATGAGTGCAAGGAGCCTGGGGAACTGGGTGGAACATTCCCAGGGTGGGCTGGGAAGGAAGGTCAGCACCGGAGACTAGAACCTCAGCCTTGCCGAGACCGGTTTGGCTCAGTGGATAGAGCATCGGCCTGCAGACTGAAAGGTCCCGGGTTCGATTCTGGTCAGGGGCATGTACCTTAGTTGTGGGCACATCCCCCGTGGGGGGCGATGCAGTGGGCAGCTGATCGATGTTTCTAACTCTCTATCCCTCTCCCTTCCTGTCTGTAAAAAAATCAATAAAAAATATATTTTTTTAAAAAAGAACCTCAGCCTTTGTTCCCTCCAGCCCCCCTCTGAGGGGGACAGCAGCGCTCAGCTAAGGTTCCCCTTTTGCTCCACCCCGTAGGGAGGAACAAGCCTTGTTTCCCCATAGGTGGTTACCACTTCCTGCTGCCGGAAGAGACACTGTCTCCTTTCCCCTGCAGCTTGCACCTGTCCTGTCCTAGGCCTGGGGGTGAGGGTACAGCCTTCCCCCTGCCCCTCAGAGCAAGCCTGGGGGGCCCCTGTCATCCAGGCATAGTTTCCCTGCACCCCTCTCTGCCAACTCAGACCCACAAGGCGACAGCTTTCCTCCAGGAAACTGGGAAGGCAGGAGCAGGTGGCAGGTGACAAGCCAGACTATACCAGTCTTCAGTTGGATGGGAGGGAAATCCCGGGGGTATAGATGGTGGGAGAGGAGTGAGGCTTGTGCTCAGGGAAGCTGGTCTGTAGGCTGGTGCGAGGGGTCCAGGCCTTTGTGTGCAGGGATATCAAAATCAGGCTCTGTACACGTGTGAGCACATGTGACCTAGACCTGCAGCTCTCTGGGAGGGAGGGCAGGGGTGCAGGTACTTCCTGCCTTTCAACTATAAGCAATCCCCCCCCCAGAGGGGGGAAAACATACCTGCTCAGCTTGCTGCCCTCCCCCAAGTAGCAAGGGCCTTCTCTAGGATGCTACGTGTCCATGGGGCTTGGGGCTGGGAGGCCTGGGAGCTGGCCAGATCCCAGCAGGCCCGGGACCTGGGCCTCCAGCAGCTGGTCTCAGCTGTACTAACTGCTGGAATCCTTCAGCAAGACAGATGAGGGAGCCTCAGTCCTTTTCTGACGCCAGAAATGCTAACACGTGGTCCCATCCAGCCACTGCTTTAAAACCTCAAGTAATTAGCCCTGGCTTTTAGGACACTTGTTTGCCATTTAAGGCCCTTACTGGCCTCTGTTCCATTGTTCCCAGAGAATTCAAAATCCCATTATCCCGCATTAGGCAAGGCCCAGATCTGCCGGGCCTTGCTCAACCTGTTAATGAGTGGAGTGCACACTTGGTCCTGAGGGGCGACCACAGGGCAGACGTGATCAGATCTGCTGCACGGCTGACAGACCAGAGGGGGAGAGGAGATAAAAGGGGAGGCTGTTACAAGCAGTCCACATCAGAACAATAATTGGGCCGTGAGGCCCCTCCTATTCCTCTACAGATCAGCCCTGCAGTTTAACAATGAGGTGCTGCGATGTTATGCACCTTAGTATATAGGTTGGCAGGGGCGGGGGAGGGGGGGAGGTGGAACGTCCCCGAAGCGTATCCCAGCCACACGGCGCGAGGATAAGGGAGCCAGCTTTCCCTCCGTCAGCCTTAAAGCCACAGCTCCGTTCATTGGAATGGAAGCGGCCCCTCCCAGAGGAAGGTGCTGCCGAGGCGGGGGAAGTGTTGGGCCCCAAGGGCCATTCGGGCCTGTGGCTTCCCCTCCTTCCCCCTCCCTCCCGCCCGCAGTTCCCACCTCCGCCCAGGAAACTCAACCGCCTGGGGGCGGCCGAGTGTCAAAGGCCCGCAAGGGAATCGGGCGCCGAGGGCAAAGGGTGTGCTAGGTCCCTGTGGGCAGGGCGGAGGGAGGAAGGCGGGCGCCGCCTTGCGCCACTGGCTCCCTCCCACCAGCGTTGGGGCGCGGCCTCTGCAGCGCCCGTGGACATTCGGACCAGTCAGAACCTGGGAACGAAGCCCGCGGCTCGCGAACCGGAAGGGACTGACGCCAGACGTGGAGGGCGGAGCGAGTAACGGAGCCAATCAGAACAAAGCGCCGCCCGAGCCCGCGAGCGAGCAGCAGCGCGCAGACGCAACCCCGCCCCCTAGCTCCAGCTTCCTCCGCTGCCTGTTGACCACGTGCCAGGCGCCAGCCAATGAGAATCGAGCTCCAGCCCAACGGCGAAAAAATTCAGCCGGGCGGGAGGAATAGCGTGTCATAGGCAGTAGCAGGGACATAAGGTAGTGACAGCTCAGGAGTGCTGAGCTTCCCTGGGAGGTGGGCTGCCCAGACAGCCTGCTCTGCGTCTAGGAGCAGCAAGGGATGGCGCTGCAGCCAGAAGAAAGGGCACAGGAACAAACCTGGGGATTATAGGGAATCTGTGCAATGACATTTTGCATTTGTCAAAAGCCATAGAGGGAAATGTAAGCCCTGGACTATAGTTAATAATGTACCAATATCCGCTCATCAATTGTAACAAATGCAACACCATACTAAATGTTAATAGGGAAAACGGGATAGATGGGGTGTGTGGAAACCACACACTGCTCAGTTCTGTAAACCTAAAACTACTATAAATAAAGCCTATTAATTATTTTCAAATTAAGGCTTAGGAAGTAGATTCAAGGGGCATTATGGTGGTCAAACACACAGAACCCACTGACCTTTTGGATGCAGGAGATGGAGGAATTAAAAACAGTTGCCAGAACTTCAGCAACTGGGTAGCTGCTTGGGCCATTATCCAGATAGGACATCAGTGGATAAGCCCAATGAGCATTTGGACTTAGGCATCTGAAGCCCAGCAAGGCAGAGTGAAAAGCAGGGCTCAGAAGGCAGAACATCTGTCCCCAAGGTGGGGGTGGCTCCCATAACGCCAGGGTCTCCCTCCCTAGACCCCAAAGATGCTGAAAGCCATCAGACTTGGGAGCTCCACCTCCAAACCTACACGAAGCTTCTCGGGCTTTCCAGGATGCGCAGTGCCAAAGGCTCTTGAGGTCCAGCCCGGCAGGGACACAGAGGGGCCTGAGAGAGGCAACCCCCCACAAACGCGCACACTCGCACACACAAACCCCCCCCTGGGTGAAGTTTATTGTGAAACCTCAGGTGAGGATGGCAGGGGCAGGCCAGGGCAGGGAGCCGAGGCTTTAGGAAGCGGAGTCGGAGGCCTCTGAGCTGTCCTTGACGTCGGTGCTCTCTGTGGTCTCGCTGACCTCGCTGAGGTCCTTGCTGTCACCACCGCTGTCCTCGGCAGCCAGGCCCTTCTCCTCTCGACCGGGCTCTCCCGAGCTGGGCACTGAGCTGCCCTTGCCCTCCGCCTTGTTCTCGATGGCGCCCAGCACTGTGTGCCTGCCCTTCTCCTTCAGCTCCAGGTGCCGCCTCAGCTGCCACCAGGGGCCCAGGGAGAAGCAGGAGGAAGATGACAGGGCCTAAGTCTCCAGACCATGTGGGCTCTCTCTGGCTGCCCAAGGGAGCCTGTGCCTGTCACTTGCTGGGGGCAGAGGGTCAAATGAGAGGCAGCAGGGCCAGGGTAGGGAACACAGGACTGTATTGCGTTGAATCCTGGCTCTACTCTCTCTGGGGCTGTCTCCCTTCCTGGAAAGGAAGTATGCTCATGCCTCCCTCATTTCGGCCGCTGTTTTTGTCTTACCCCTGAGCCTGGGGCAGACCATGGCTGTTCCCAGGCCCCCACTGCTATCCTGGGGCCCTCATTCTCAGTGCATCCAAGCGCCTCCCTCCCTTGCCACTGAGAATGGAATCTTAGGGCCTCCTTCAGAGCCTGACAGCTGGTGAAACTGAGGTGACGAGCGCCATGACTCCCAGCAACATAGCCACAATGGCTAGCGCCTGATCCGTCTTGTCTCTAGCCCACTGCAGGCCTCCTACTGTCTCAGGGCCACTGGGAGCTTCACCTTCCCTCCAGCGGGGGCTCCCCTACTTACCTTGCTCTCCTTTATCTGTGGGGACTGTGGCCCTGCCCCCCTAGACTTACCTCCTCGGCCATCTGGGTGAGGTCCCGCTTCATGGCATACGCATCTTCCCCATCCGCATAGTATTTGGGTTCCACTTCACTGATCCTGTGGGCAGGGGTTAGAGAGAAGGACAATGAATCAGGGGTCAAATTCTCCTCAGCCTTCTGGTGTCATAGGCCAGTGGGGCAAGATGTCATTTCCACCCAAAGGACCCTTTGGTATACAAGCTCCATTTCCCTCTGCTCTGTCAAGTGCCTTTATCCCTCTCCCCACTCCCCGGGTCCCGCCATGGTCCTGCCTATCCTAACCTGGCTACCAAGATCTTTTTTTTTTCCTTAATATATTTTTATTGATTTTTTACAGAGGGGAAGGAAGAGGGATAGAGAGTAAGAAACATCAATCAGAGAGAAACATCGATCAGCTGCCTCCTGCACACCTCCTACTGGGGATGTGCCCACAACCACGGGACATGCCCTTGACCGGAATCAAACCCGGGACCCTTCAGTCCACAGGCCGACGCTCTATCCACTGAGCCAAACTGGTTATGGCGTTCTGTGGTTTCTTGCGAGCTGAAGCCCTGAATTTGGCCATCCTCTTCCCTCCCTGCTCTGCTCCCTGTCACTTACTGAGAACGCACTGTCGGTCCCTATGCCTACAAATTGGAACGGGGAGGAGGGGCTAAGCTTTCACTGGAGGTACGCCTGCAGGCTTGGGCATCTGCCACCGAAAGGGGGTCTGGACTCAATGGCCTAGAAAGTACCTGCCATACCTAAGCCCCTGGAATGGTTGATCAGAGGTGTCAGCATTTGGGTCAAAGATTGCTCCTCAGGCCGAAACCGGTTTGGCTCAAATGGATAGAGCGTCGGCTTGGGGACTGAAAGGTCCCGGGTTCGATTCCGGTCAAGGGCATGTACCTTGGTTGCGGGCATATCCCCATTTTAGGGGGTGTGCAAGAGGCAGCTGATCGATGACTCTCTCTCATCGATGTTTCTATCTCTCTCTCTTCCTCTCTATATAAAATCAATAAAATATATTAAAAAAAAAAAAAGATTGCTCCTCAGATTGTATCACTGTGGGGAGGACAGGAGGCCCACATAGGTGCACCTCTGCCCTTCACATCTGTCACATCCATCCAGGCCCTGACGCCCCCACCCAGAACTGTGCCTGTCTCCCTGCACAGCCTCACATGGGAACTCAAGACAGCGTGTTCCATAGGTGGCCACCAGACACATGGCCCCCTGAGACATGCTGCCAATGTAAAACACGCCAGAATCTAAATTAGCAAAAAAAAAAAAAGAGAGAGGATGTACGCCCGGCCGGTGTGGCTCAGTGGTTCAGCATCAAACCATGAACCAGGAGGTCAAGGTTCGATTTCCGGTCAGTGCACATGCCCGAGTTGCAGGCTCCATCCCCAGTAGGGGACGTGCAGGAGGCAGCCGATCCATGATTCTCTCTCCTCATTGATGTTTCTTTCCCTCTCTCCCTCTCTCTCTGTCTCTGCTTTCCTCTCTGAAATCAATAAAAATATATTTAAAAAGAGGATGTAAAGTAACTCAATGATTTCTTATATTGCTTAACTGTTCAAATGAGAAGAATATGGATTTATTGAGCTAAAGTGATAAAAAAGAAAAAAAAAAAAAGATTGTTCCTCAAATACCCTTCACAACATTCTCTTCTCATCCCCACCAAACTGAGGCCAAGTCCTGTCTCAGGGGGCTCCTCCGTGGACAACCCATCCAGCTTCACTTTCAAGTAGCTTCTGCCATCATGTATTGGGAGCATCAATTCCCTGCCAGGCTCTCTCTGTCCTGTGCCAGGCACACAGAGACTCCACTGCACCTGATGGACCCATCCTCGTCCGCCAGGCTGCCCAGGGCTCCAGATCAGCGACCGCCAACCTTTCGGACCTCAGGGACCGCCAGTGGTCTGCGGACCACTGATTGGCGCAGTCCCTCCGCTCCCCATGCTGACAGCGCATCCTACCTGGACGTGCTTAAGCTTCTGTGGCAGCAACATTCTCCTTCCTTCTGGTCCCACTTTAGGTGCCTGGCCACTTTGAGTTCTATTCCTTGGCTTCTGCTATATCCTGAGCCCTCATATATACTCCCGAGAAGCCCATGTGTTCTTCACCATGCTGCCCATCATCTGCTCTAAGCCACCATCAAGCAATCCTTCCTCCACACAGCAAGACACACCGCACATCCTCCTGCATCACCCAATCCCTGAGCAGATGGCAGCAGGCAAGTGCCATCACTGTTGAGAATGGAGGAGGCACCCTGGCAATGAGTGTGGAGTCCAGGACCCGCTCCCCATCTCAGCTGCCCCTGCCCCCCAGCCCGGAAGGCAGCTCAGTCCATCTCAACAATCTGGATGAGCCAGGCAGACCTGGGACCACCCCCCACGCCATTAGAAAAATCTAGATGTACTTACTGGAAGTTGAGGGTGTTGGAATAGAGGTGCAGGGCCGCCCGGTTACTGCAGGAGAATAAGGCACTGCTGAGCTGCGCAGACTTGGCCAGGCAGGGACAGCATGTCCAGGTCCTGCCCCTTTTCCTAGTGCCCCCTCCCCACTGATCCCACTTCCCAGATCTTCTCCAAAAGCCAGGGTACCCCACGACCCACATCAACAGAGTGTCTTTTCCCCACTCCTCCCTTCCCTGGTCCCCGGCTTCCACCTCTTCCTGACGTGCAGGGAGACGTATTTGGCATTGAAGTTCTCAATCATGGCTCGGGAGGCCTGGTCCATCAGCTTCTGAGCCAGGCCAAGGCGCCGGTGGGAACGCTTTACAGCCTGGAGGGAGAAGGGGAGGAGCTTGAGGGCTGCCCCAACTAACCCCTATTTCCATCCCCATCAAAGCCTACGTGGGCCTTACGCACCAGTGAGGTGATATGTCCGTGAGGCACATCATCCGGGTCCTCTTCCCTGTATCAAGAAGGAGAGAGGTTAGCAAGGAGCCCTGTGAAGATGCAGCCACCCCCACCACTCAGCATATGCGCATGGCAGGAGCATGTGCCGGGAGGTGGCCCCATATCTGGGGTGACGGGAGAGCTGGGACTCTCAAACCCCTCACAGCAGCCAAAAGACATATATAGAGTCAATGGAGTACAATGGAATGTTGTTCAGTGATAAAAAGAAATGCGCTAGCTGAAACCGGTGTGGCTCAGTGGATAGAGTGTTGGCCTGCAGGCTGAAAGGTCCTAGGTTCGATTCCGGTCAAGGGCATGTACCTTGGTTGCAGGCACATCCCCAGTAGGGGGTGTGCAAGAGGCAGCTGATCGATGTTTCTCTCTCATCGATGTTTTTAACTCTCTATCCCTCTCTCTTCCTCTCTGTAAAAAATCAATAAAATAGAGAATCCAAGATGGCTGCTCGGGTAAACACCTAGCCGCAGCTGCACACAACAATTTCAATAAAATACAACTAAAATATAAAATGGACATTACCCAGAACTACAGGAAAGTTGACTGACTGGAAATTCTACAACGAGAAGCAAGGAGAAAACCAGAAGGATGAGCAGAGGAGCTGTAAAAGCTTAAGGTACGGAGACACGTGGCACGCATGGAGAGGATGGAGCCGGAGAGGAGGGCGGCTGAGTGCCTGGCTGGCGTTCCCTAGCGGGAAGGAGATAAACACTCCGACTGTGCTGGGCCCCAGTTCCGATTGCTCTGAACCCCAGTTCTAAGCCAGACCCTGGGGACCCAGGCTCATCCAGAGGGAGCTGGGCTGTAAGGCGGAACCCCAGGGGAGCAGCGAAAGGAGGTCCCGGCAGCGCGCACATTGCGCGCAGAGAAGGGACGGTTGGCTGTGCCGTGGGATTGCCCTAGCGGGAAGGAGACAGGGGCTCCAGACTGCTCTGAATGCCACTTCCAACTCCACTTCCAATTGAACTGAACCCCAATACCGGGCTCATTGGGGGAGAGCCTAGACTGTTTGGTAGCAGGCGAAAATCAAGGGCACCTATCTCTCAGAGGCGCTTACAGGGAGTACTAAAGGACCCTGAGACTCAGGAGCCCCATAGGGCAGGACTGATGGAAGCCAAGGCTGTAGGCTCCACCCTGAAACCCCGCCTCATCAGAGAAGCTGCGAAATGCAACAACGAAATAGATCACAAACGAAAGAAATGGAGGACAAAAAGTGACTGGATATAGAGTTCAAATCTACGCTTATAAGGTTTTTCAAGAATTTCCTAGAAAAGAATGATAAGACTTATGAGGATATAAAAAGGGATCAACTAGAATTAATAAGGAATCAATGAGAAATGATAAGGGATCAACAAGAAATAAAGAATACATTGTCGTCGAAACCGGTTTGGCTCAATGGATAGAGCGTTGGCTTGGGGACTGAGGGGTCCCGGGTTCAATTCCGGTCAAGGGCATGTACCTTGGTTGCGGGCATATTCCCAGTAGGGGGTGTGCAAGAGGCAGCTGATTGATGACTCTCTCATCAATGTTTCTAACTCTCTCTCTCCCTTCCTCACTGTACAAAATCAATAAAATATATTAAAAAAAATACATTGTCTGGCCGAGACCAGTTTGGCTCAATGGATAGAGCGTCGGCTTGGGGACTGAAGGGACCCGGGTTCGATTCTGGTCAAGGGCATGTGCCTTGGTTGCGGGCATATCCCCAGTGGGGGATGTGCAAGAGGCAGCTGATCGATGACTCTCTCTCATCGATGTTTCTAGCTCTCTATCTCTCTCCCTTCCTCTCTGTACAAAATCAATAAAATATATTTTTAAAAAAAGAATATATTGTCTGAAATAAAAAATATTATACAGAGTCCTAAAAACAGAATGGAAGATCGCAAGAATCAAGTCAAAGATTTGGAACATAAAGAGCCAGAAGACACTCCTCCACAGAAGCTAGAAGGCAAGAGAATCCAGAAAATTGAAGATAATGTAAGAAACCTCTGGGACAACTTCAAGCGAACCAACATCAGAATTATGGGGGTCCCAGAAGATGAGAGAGAGCAAGATATCGAAAACATACTGAAAGAAATAGTGACAGAAAACTTCCCCCACCTGGTGAAAGAACTAGACTTACAAGTCCAGGAAGTGCACAGAACTCCAAACAAAAGGAATTCAAAGAGGACCACACCAAGACACATCATAATTAAAATTCCAAGAGCAAAAGACAAAGAGAGAATATTAAAAGCAGCAAGACCAAAGAAGGTAGTTACCTATAAAGGAGCACCTATACGATTGTCAGCTGACTTCTCAACAGAAACCATGCAGGCCAGACGGGAATGGCAAGAAATATTCAAGGTGATGAATAGTAAGAACCAACAGCCAAAGATAATCTATCCAGTAAAGCTATCATTCAGAATCGAAGGTCAGATAAAGAGCTTCACTAATAAAAAAAAGCTAAAGGAGTTCATTACCACCAAACCAGAATTATATGAATTGCTGAAGGGGGTTCTTTCAGAAGAGAAAGTAAATAAAGATAAAAATTATGAACAACAAATACGTAACTATCAACAAGTGAATCTAAAAACCAAGGGAATTAAAAAAAAATCTGATGAACAATATTAACTGTTGAATATAATAGAATCAGAGGTATGGAAGGGGAGTGAACTGACGATTCTTGGGGAAAAGGGGAGAGGGGGATGTGGGAAAAGACTGAACATAAACTGTGCACCTATGGATGAGGACAATGGGGAGTGGGGAAAGGGCAGAGGGTGGGGTGGGAACCTGATGGAGGAGAGCAATGGAGGGGGGGGGAAGGAACATTTGTAATAATATTAACAATAAAAAATTATTTTAAAAAAATCAATAAAATATATTTTTTTAAAAAGAAAGAAATGCACTAGCAAACCATGAAAAGACACGAGGGGACCTTAAATGCACATTGCTAAGTGAGAGAAGCCAATCTAAAAAGGCTACCCCATTTCTGATTGCAGCTAAATGACATTCTGGAAAAAGGCAAATCAAAACTATAATGAGATACTACCTCACACCTGTTGGAGTGGCCATTATCAACAAGACAAGCAGTAACAAGTGTGGGAGAGGTTGTAGAAAAAAGGGAACCCTCATTCACTGTTAGTGGGAAGGTAGACTGGTACCACCACTATGGAAAGCAATCTGGCAATTCCTCAAAAATTTAAGAATAGGAGACCCTTTTCCCCCTCCCTACGTGGGAATCCATTCTGTAGAATTCTTTCCCTCTCCCCATGTGGGAGTCTGTACTTGTTCTTCAATAAATCTCCACCTTTGCTATAAATAAAAATTAAGAATAGAACTACCATATGACCCAGCAATCCACTCCTGGGTATATACCCGAAAAACTCTGGCCCTAACCCAGCCAGTGTGGCTCAGTGGTTGACCATGGACCTATAAACCAGTTCGATTCTGGTCCAGGCACATACCCAGGTTGCAGGCTCCATCCCCAGTAGGGGGCGTGCAAGAGGCAGCCAATCAATGATTCTCTCTCATCACTGATGTTTCTATCTCTCTTCCTCTCCCTTCCTCTCTGAAATCAATAAAAATACATGGAAACATTTTAACTGAAAGTTGAATTTTAAAAAGTCTATAAATTAATTTTAAAGAACCACCAAGGCAGCACCCACCAGACGCGTGCAGTGCCCCCACCCCCGTGGCGGATCCATCCCCCATCCCCCAGCTCCCACACCAGGCTTCTCTCCCTCCTTGGTAACTCACATTTTGGCCAGGACATACCCCACAATCTTCCCATTCTCATCCTCAGCGATGTAAGAGAGCTGGGTGACAGGGAGGAGAAAGAAGTCAGAAAACAACTTCCTGTCCTAGAGGTGAGGAGCCCTTAGCAGCCACCTGGTCCCACGGCCCGCTGTGCGCATGGCAGGCAGAAGTCCCTCCAGTGGTGAGTTCAGTAATAGCTCCTGACCTCCAGGCCAAGTGAGTGCCTTGGTTTCCCCATACCACATTGTGTCCTGTCACAGGTAGGAAGGACCTACACACAGGTGGGAATCCTGCCCCTCCTTTGGCCCAGGCCTTAAGCTCCCCACCTCAGCTGAGAGCACCCACTCCTCCCACACGGACGCCTGGTGTCCCCAGTCCCCACATCCGGCTGCCCACCTGGGGCCAGGAGAGGCCATGGTAGAAGTAGTACTTCATTTGGTAGTTCTCTGGCAGGCACAGCAGGTTGCAGTGCTGCATGTTCATCAGGTCCTCTGGCTGCGGGAGGAGGGCACGGGAATGCGGTCAGGCCAGGGGCTGCGGTGACTAAGCAGGCCTGGGTCCTGTCAAAGCCCGATCGCTGTCTGTCTATTCACCGACACACATACGCACCCGACCCCTGATCCCCGCAGGGCTGGGCGGGCCAGTCTGTACACATGTCCGGCTCACAGCCACTGTGCAAAAATCCTCTGTTCCTGGAATGAACGTGGGTGCAAGGGGAGCTCCCAGACACTATCCAACGGAGCCCCGACATCCCGCAAAGACGGGGTTTGCAGCCCCGACCCCCTCTCTGCGTAGATCCGACCCCCACTCGGTGTAGGTCCAGCCCCACGGGCGCGATGGCCTTCCCCAGCCCCGCACAGGGCGGTCGGCCCTGGACTCTAGGCCCCTCGAGAGCATGCGCACGCGGCCACCCAGCCCGCACCCACGCGACACAGACAGTCTTCCGGCCCGGACCCTCACCCGTGCATTGCGGATGTTCATGACGGCGACGAGGATGGCGGCTCCCAGCGGATCGTGAAGGCGCAGTCAGCTGCTGCTGGCCGGACCCGGGCTGGAGCTGGCTGGGGCTGGAGCAGGGGCCAGGCTGGGGCTCGCGGGGGCGGCGGCGGAAGGGGCGGGGCAGACCGGGCGGACCACAGGCCGGAAGTGCTGCCGCTGCACCCGCCCTCGTGACCGCTCGGCCAATGCGCGAGGCGGGCAGGGGGCGGGGGCGGGGCTTTGGGTGGGCGGGGCGGGGTAGGGAGATATTCTGGGCAGTGGGGACTGGTGGGTCACTGTCGGGGTGAGCAGGTGTCCTCCGGCCATCGCGGCGGCTGCCCCTCCCTCGACCCCACAGACACACACACACTCGCGGGCAGTTGAGCAGGCTCAGCTTTATTTTGCGGCTCCGAGGGACGGGTGGGCGGGTGAGGACCCGGCCCCTGGAAAGGGATCAGGGACTCAACGGCTCAGCAGGGCGTCCAGCATCTCTTCGCACATAGCTAGGCACCGCGGCACGTGGAAGCAGCCTGCGGGAAAGGCGAGATTGCAAGTTAGGAGGGCCGGGGTCAACCAAATCCCCAGAGTTCCAGACACCCCACTCTGTCTCCCGCTCACCTTTGAAAGGACCTCCCTTGATGGTGAGGGCAACCGTCCCATCTCGGTTTAGGTAGCCAAACCACTCCCCATGCTCAGGATCGCGAAACTGGAATAACAACGGCAGAGTGACTGCCAGGAGCTGTCCCTATGAGACAGGCCTGGGAAGGGCTTCTCACTGCCCCACTGCACCGCGACCAGGGTCAGAGCTCCGGTTCACCCCGGGTAACGTGGCTCCAGGATCAGTGCTCAGCGTAGTGGTCAAAGAAAAAAATCGAGGGGCTTCCTTCCCTTTTTCCCTTCCTGAGAGGGGGTGGGGAGGATGAAAGTCTGCAGTTGGATAACCCACTGAGGGAAAGGGCCACAGGCCGTTAGCTGAAACACTGGGAGATGAACTAACAAGAACCCTGGCTTGGGATGACAGAAACACCCTCTGTCTTGTTTAAACGCCATCTCTATCTCTTAAAAACATATTCCTTAAATGTAACTTCACACAGTTTAAACTGGTGGCCTCTAACACATGTTCTTTATGAATGCATTCAATATTAAGATATAGGGGGGGCCAACAGGCCCTGAGCAGCCAGGCCCAGAACAGCTCGCTCCTTGCCTGCCCCTGCCCTACGGCTGCTTCTCTTACATGGCTGGAAAATTTCGTGGGAACTTGAGGGTCTGCTGAATCAAGTGATGAAGGCTTAGATCTGGATGTGTTGAGTTAGTTTAGGACTGGGGTGTTGATCTGTGAGTGCCTTGGGTGGGGCCTGGATGAGGCTGGTTGACCTAGAGGGAAATGTCTTTTGTGTGAAGTGTATCATTGGGCATGTGGAGGTATTATTGATATGAGAAAATGCTAAATAACTGATTTACTATCTGAAAAGGGATTTACTATTGGGGAAATTGAGGGAAGAAGAGACTGAACATAAACTGCACCTATGGATGAGGACAATGGGGGGTGGTGGGGGGGAATGGAGGGTGGGGTGGGAACCTGGTGGAGGGGGGAAGAAATGAGGAACCTTTGTAATAATATGAACAATAAAGATTGATTTAAAAAAAAAAAAAAGAAGAAGAAAAAAAAAAGATATAGGGGGGGCCAAGACCGGTTTGGCTCATTGGATAGAGCGTCGACCTGCGAACTGAAGGGTCCCGGGTTTGATTCCAGTCAAGGGCATGTACCTTGGTTGCAAGCACAGTTGGTTGGGTGTTATCCCTTGCATGGAAGGGGTGCCAATTCAATTCCCAGTCAGGAAGCATGCCAGGGTTACAGGCTCCATCACAGTAGGGGCTGTGCAGGAGGCAGCAAATTGAAGTTTTGCTTACACATTGATGTTTCTCTCCCTCTGTCTTTAAAAAATCAATAAAAATATTTAAATTTTTTAAAATATAGTTTATTGACTTTTTTCAGAGAGGAAGGAGAAGGGATAGAGTTAGAAACATCAGTGAGATGTGCTCGTAACCAAGGTACATGCCCTTGACCAGAATCGAACCTGGGACCTTTCAATCTACAGGCTGACACTCTATCCACTGAGCCAAACCGGTTTCGGCAATAAAAAATATTTTTTAAAGACATAGCCTTGAGTCTCATGACCCCCTGATTTGGAAAAAGTGATGAGCTTGTGCTATACTTGAGATGCCTCTCTAAGTACAGTATAACATGAACATATGTGGGGTTGCTATTGGTGACAAAATCAGGCGCTGCTACTGTGGTTACTGCCTCCATTCATAATGGGAGTAAATGCTGGATTTCAGTTAGTGCTTAGTAAAAATAATGATGGAATTTTCCCTTAGTTTTGAAGCCCACGAACCCCAGAATAAGACCCCCTGCTGATTCTTGTCTCCTTTGCTGGGCCCTCCTATTCCCTCCTCTCCTGTGCTTTTATTTATTTTTTATTTTATTTTATTTTAAAATATACCTTATTGATTTTTTTACAGAGAGGAACAGAGAGGGATAGAGAGTTAGAGATATCGATGAGAGAGAATCATCCATCAGCTGCCTCCTGCACACCCCCTCCTGGGGATGTGCCCACAACCAAGGTACATGCCCTTGACCGGAATCGAACCTGGGACCTTTCAGTCCGCAGGCTGACGCTCTATCCACTGAGCCAAACCGGTTTCAGCCCTTGCTTTATTTTCCACAGCTCCCATCGCCATCCGGGTTTGCCTGTTCACTTGTTTATAGTCTGTCTCTCCTCCCTCTCCCCCCCCCCAACCCCACTGAAATGTGAACTCCAGGGGAGCAGGGACTGCTTCGTTGACTAAACAGAGCGCACTGGGGGACCTCCAGGAACTCTCATATCAGCTTTGAGAGACCACATTCAATGAAGGAGAAAGTAGGGGGTGGGGGATGAGCCACCTTATCCCTGCCCAGCCTCCTCCCACTGCCCAGGAGAGCCTGGCCCTGGCCTGCCCAGGGAAGAATGACTGCCCACTGTGTCTCCCACGCCCTTGCCAAGCCCAACGAGGACTGTGGACCGGGAAGCAGCACGTACCTTGCGGAAGGTGTAATCAGCCACCTGATAGAAGAGGTGCAGTAAGCCAGGGTCCCCGCTGTCGCTGTAGCCCATAAGGAAGGCAATCATGGCTTCACTGTGCGGCCACCAGAGCTTCATGGCCCACTCCAGCTGAGAGCAGAACAGAGGCAGCATCTGAGAGCCCTGCATCCCACCACCCACCACCTGTCTCAGCAGGAATGTCACCCCATCGTTCCGGTCCTGGCTCAGACTCCCTCTGGCCCAAGCATCCTGTGACATCTCTGGACATCTCTGGTTGGAAAGACTCCCAAGAATAGGACTAGCTTGTTTTTTTTTTAATTTTTTTTAATATTTTATTGATTTTTTACAGAGAGGAAGAGAGAGGCATAGACAGCCAGAAACATCGATGAGAGAGAATCATCGATCAGCTGCCTCCTGCACCACCCCCACTGGGGATGTGCCTGCAACCAAGGTACATGCCCTTGACCGGAACCAAACCTGGGACCCTTCAGTCCGTAAACTGATGCTCTATCCACTGAGCCACACCGGTTTCAGCAGGACTAGCTTCTTGAGCCAGTGCACCCCAAAGGTAGGGGTGAGTCAGGCTACTCTTTCACCTTGGAATTAAAACCATGTCTCTCTTGTCAGTCTGTCTAAATCTCCTCAGACACTCAGCCACCCTCTGTAGATCTCAGCAGGATCAAGACACAGAGGAAACAGACTAGGGAGCAAATCTGTTCCCCCTGCTGACACCTTAAAATCACCTAGAAAGCCCCTCCAGTGTGGCTCAGTGATTGAGCATTGACCTATGAACCGGGAAGTCTTAGTCACATGCCCAGGTTGTGATCTCCAGTGGGGGGTGTGCAGGAGGCAGCTGATCCATGATTCTCTCTCATCATTGATGTTTCTATATCTCTCTCCCCCTCTTTCCTTTATGAAATCAATCCTATATAATAAAAGGCTAATATGCAAATCGACCAAATGGCAGAACAACTGGTTGCTATGATGCACACTGATCACCAGGGGAGCGCCGCTCAGCCAGAAACTGGGCTCAGGGCTGGTGAGCCTCCTGGCAGTGGCAGGAGCCTCTTCCGTCTCCTTGGCAGCGCTAAGGATGTCCAACTGACGGCTTAGACTAAGCCATCAGTCAGACATCCCCCTGAGGACTTCCGGACTGCGAGAGGGAACAGGCTGGGCTGAGGGACCGCCCCCCCCCATGAGTGCATGAATTTCGTGCACTGGGCCTCTAGCACAAATATATTTTTAAAAATTGAAAACTTTTACTAAAACAAATCACATAGCGAGCTTTCAAAGATGAAAGGGACAAATGTCTCTGCATTGGCATTGTCTGTGCTCCCTTGTGGCCTTCCTCTGCACATAAGGTTGAGGACCGCTGGGGTCACACTGGGCAAGTTCACTGCTGAGTCCTGAGTCCGCCTCTATGAAATAGGTGATGGCAGCAGTTATGAATCACCCAGGACAGAAAGCTTGGAACAGGTTAGCATCATGTGGCCCTGGGCGCACTCCCACCTGGGTAGGGCAGAGGCCATCCACATCCTGGAAGTACAAGAGGCCTCCATGGTCAGGGTCCCAGCCAGAGCGGAAAGGTAATAATAGGAACTTGTCAATAACGTGGGCTCGAAGTTCAGGGTCACCTTTCCGGGTGGCGTGACGGAGCAGGAACCATCCAGCTTCTAGTGCGTGGCCTGGTGAAGGATTGGGGTAAGGTAGGCATTGGATTCTCCCCTAGGTAGGGAGGCTCAAGCCCCTACACTGACCACTGTACCTTCCTTCCTCCCTAACAATGGGAGCTGCTCTGGCCCACCCAACAGCCTCTCCCATGGAGAAAACTCACCTCCCACCCCCCAGTCCGCCCCAGACTACCTCTCCTGCTGATACCCCAGCCTGGGAGGCCTGTCACCCCTCTTTGCCTGGTCCTTG